TTTGACTGACTTTATATGAGGGTAGTCCAGTGTTTGGCTCTGCATGTCTTTCTATCCTGATGTACAGGAATGTGGTTTCAAATAGGAACTTAGGTAATGTACATGTATAGGTACAGAGCCTCCACATCTAATTCCCCTTCCCAGAGGAGAAAAGGGTACGTACCAAATTAAGTGTGACAGTTGAACGTACAGGGTACCGTACAACACAAGGGTGATGAAATGTGAGCAATCAGATGTTTTCATCGTTTCAGAAGGATGTGATCTAATTTCTAGATATTTATCGCACCCTCAGGTGCTATATTGTCTACAGGTTTCCAGCCAAACCGTTTTAGGGATTCATTTGAAATTTTCAGGGATGTTTCTACCTATGAAAGTTAAGAACTGATTAGTTTTTCGGCATTCTGGGTAAATGTAAAGGCGGCCATTTTGGATTTTCCGTCCTAAAATCTTGTCTGTCAAGGCTTGTCTACAGGTTTCCAGCCAAACCGTTGGAGGGATTCATTTGAAATTCTCAGGGATGTTTCTACCTATGAAAGTTTAGAACTGATTAGTTTTTCGGCATTCTGGGTAAATGTTAAGGTGGCCATTTTGGATTTTCCGTCTTAAAATCTTGTCCTCCAAGGCTTGTCTACAGGTTTCCAGCCAAACCGTTTGAGGGATTCATTTGAAATTCTCAGGGATGTTTCTACCTATGAAAGTTTAGAACTGATTAGTTTTTCGGCATTCTGGGTTAATGTTAAGGCGGCCATTTTGGATTTTCCGTCCCAAAATCTTGTCTGTCAAGCCTTGTCTACAGGTTTCCAGACAAACCGTTTTAGGGATTCATTTGAAATTCTCAGGGATGTTTCTACCTATGAAAGTTTAGAACTGATTAGTTTTTCGGCATTCTGGGTAAATGTTAAGGCGGCCATTTTGGATTTTCTGTCCTAAAAACTTGTCTGTCAAGGCTTGTCTACAGGTTTCCAGCCAAACCGTTTGAGGGATTCATTTGAAATTCTAAGGGATGTTTCTACCTATGAAAGTTTAGAACTGATTAGTTTTTCGGCATTCTGGGTAAATGTTAAGGCGGCCATTTTGGATTTTCCGTCCTAAAATCTTTTCTGTCAAGGCTTGTCTACAGGTTTCCAGCCAAACCGTTTGAGGGATTCATTTGAAATTCTCAGGAATGTTTGTACCTATGAAAGTTTAAAACTGATTAGTTTTTCGACATTCTGGATAAATGTTAAGACGGCCATTTCGGATTTTCCGTCCTAAAATCTTGTCTGTCAAGGATTGTCTACAGGTTTCCAGCCAAACCGTTTGAGGGATTCATTTGAAATTCTCAGGGATGTTTCTACCTATGAAAGTTAAGAACTGATTAGTTTTTCGGCATTCTGGGTAAATGTTAAGACGGCTATTTCGGATTTTCCGTCCTAAAATCTTGTCTGTCAAGGATTGTCTACAGGTTTGCCAAACCGTTTGAGGGATTCATTTGAAATTCTCAGGGATGTTTCTACCTATAAAAGTTTAGAACTGATTAGTTTTTCGGCATTCTTGGTAAATGTTAAGGTGGCCATTTTGGATTTTTCGTCCCAAAATCGTGTCTGTGAAGGCTTGTTTTAAAAGATAAAAAATAATTTCCCATTGAGAACAATGTTAAATTAAAACATTTTTTTAGAAATAACTAAACGGTCAATCTTTCCAATTTTCATATATTTTGTAATACATCGGTATATCTTTTCCCAGGTTCTTTTTCAGGAAAATCTGAATTGTAGAAATAAAGCTGATACACTGTGAAGTAATACCTTAAAACGTGTCTCTTGAGGGTTGTTTACAGGTTTCATGGACTCATGGACTCCTAAAATTTTAGAGATGTTTCTATGGAAAGTTTAGAACTGATTAGTTTTTAGGCAGTCTGGGTAAATGTTAAGGTGGGCATTTTGAATTTTCCATCCCGAAAAGTGTATTCTGTTCAAGGGTGCGATTCTGTTCACCGTGTGGCTTATTTTATATTTGCGTCATACCATATCTCACTCGTGTACCCCACCTCGCGTGTTCAACTGTCACACATTTTTTGGTACGCACCCTGTGAGGAGGAGATACTGAACAAATATTTCACTCTATTGAGGTGAATACCTGTACATCTTTCCCAAGTGATATTCCACGAAGCCCGAAGGGCAAGTGGAATATCACCTTGTGAAAGTGCTACAGGTATTCACCGAAAATAGAGTGAAATATTTGTTTTATTATATCACTGTCTAGCTAAACATCCCTAATATTATTAAGGCATAGGTTAACATTGAAATACATTGAATCTACTCGGTTCGTCTGCCATTTTGACTTACACTGAACTAAATTATTTACACTGAACGAAAACAAATTCTTTGAAAATTCCCGAGAGCGTGGGATATCGCTAGATATCTCACGGTTGTCTTATATGATTAGCATTGCCATTGAATATCGCCAGATATCCCATGACATGTGACCCGGTTTTGACCAATCATACTGTCGCTAGCTAGATAGTGATATAATAATGATAAATAACACAAGTACTGGTTATGTGTGACATAACATGTCAATGCCTTAGAGCATGGCAGTACACCTGTACCAGCTACTTGGAATATAACATGTCAATGCCTTGGAGCATGGCATTACACTAACATGTTCAAATGTGTAGCATTTAAAATATATGGATCTACCTTTCATATTTTTCATTTGAAAATTTATGATTCAGTTTGTGAATGTAACCAGTGTTCAGTTCAGCCTTCATTCCCATTTTGTTTTATGTCATCATTAAGGACTGTTTGTCTAATAATATATGCTGATATGTGTGGCATATACTACATGATACTGGCAGGATGAAAGCAACAATTGATATGAATATTGATTTTTACCAATATTAGACTGCATACTGAGCTCTGTTTATCATGCTGGCTAAATAGCAATTGAACACGTGTGAATTCATTTGTTCATGTTTACAGTTTACATTATTGTCTTCTAAATAGCTATGAACTTTTGGTGAGAGAAGATCAATTCTTACAAATGTACTTTTTGAACAGTGTAAAATCAAGCTTTTAGAGATAAGTTTTTTGGAAGATGAAGTTGGTGAGTATTTCTTATTCAGATTCTCTCTTGTTTGTATCAATGCCATATGAAGTCTATGGGGAAGGATGTATCTTATGATTGTTTTATAGATTTAAGTTTTGACTTTATGAATGAATATGTTGTAGATACTGTAGCTAAAATCTACAAAGAGAACAGATTTTTGAAACAGTCTAGTGCACAGCATCTTCATTATACAAGATATACTTGTACATATAATATTTATTATTAAAGAAATTGCAAAATTGCAGAAATATAAGGAATCTTAGCAAAATACACCTGTCCCACACTTCTGATGGCCATTTATATACAGATTTATGAGAAAAAACTAATCAGACTAAAAGCAACAGAGTTAACATCTTTTTTATTAACATAGTTGAATTATAAAGTATATCAAATCAAAGTAACCTATGCAAACAGCATGCTTCATGTCTCTTTTAATAGTTAAATGTTCATATTGTAAGAGATGCGGTATGTTTTACAACCTTTTATGTATGAATTTATAAGATCAATTTGACCTCATCATAGTCAGGTTTTTCTTTAGTGATGATGTTATTGCCTGCAATAAATGCATGCAAAACATATTAAAAAAGTAAAGTTGTTTATTTAATTTCAATATGTTGCAAGTCATTCAAAAGGTTCACATGTTCATGGGCACTGGTTCCAGATCAATGAACATGTATGCCATACTGATATATTCTTTCTTACTCATAGCTTATTCATTGCATTATTGTTGCCTATTGCATGGCATTCTGTTGTATTGCATGGCATTCTGTTGTATTGCATGGCATTCTGTTGTATTGCATGGTATTCTGTTGTATTGCATGGTATTTTGCTCATTTATTACTCTGCTTAATATATTGTATTGATTATTGCATGGTTCATTTCTTGCTTCTCCATTCACTTATATGACAATCATTTCAAACAATGTCTTTAGACATCCCAAAGTACTCCACCATACATTCACATGTGAACAAATGTCATACATTTGAGAGTCATGCCTTAATATGTAAGTTAGAATGCGAATAGTTTATCAGCAATGTAAAGGTTAATGTATATCTAAAGAGATGCAAGAAAATCAAAGTGGAATTGTGTCTCATCGGTATTCCTTATTGTGGCATTTTAAGCATATATAGTCCATAGTGTATGGTATTGTCAGACATTGGGTATATCACTCACCTACTAATACAGTGTAAGATTAGTTAAGTCAAATGATTAAAATACTACCATATACATGTACAATACTTCCAATGTCATACAGTGATTTATAGGTCATATTCTCATCTCTTTTTCTGTATTAGCAGACCTTCAATCCTACATGTACGTGTTTACATATAATATTGATTAATGATTCTGAAAAGTAAAACGTGCAAATCCAAACACTTCTTTCAGTCAAACACTTTACCATGTTGAACACTTATATGTAAAATGAGCATAATCTCTTATTTATTTTAGAGATTTTGTAACTCACTTATAGCATATTTTTATTGTTGTATATCTTATGAAGCACTTCATTACATCACCATTTATTGCGCAACTATTTATGTCCATAAGTATGATATTTTAACGTATAGATGACGAGTTATAAGAATATCACAATTATGAGCTGTGCAATAAATTATGACATAATCAAATTCTTCATAAATTACACGTTATATGGGAAAAATAACATGCTATAAGTGAGTTGCGAAATCTCTCTTATATTAGTTAAGATTTTTTTATCATCATTTTGACTTCAAATCCGATTAACTGAAATGTATTTACTTATTTCCAACATTTACGTCCAATTGCCAATTCAGAAGTAGTAAATGTCATTTGTGGTGCGAATGTATCCATCCTCACATAAAAGAAATGTTTTATGACCTTTTAAATAAGTTAAATCAGGTTATAAAATTAACACTCATATTTTACACTTTCAGGACCTAAACTGTTAGGCTCTATTGAAATGAAGGAATCCGCAAATCCAGTCCTGAAGCAGATCATGCAGAACTTGATGGGACAGTATGTACCTCCTTTGTATTACTTTACCTCCTTTGTATTAGTTCACCTCAAATGAGTATTGTCCATGAAATATTTCATTATCCCATCGAACGAATGGAAACAGGGAACCCCTTAAAAAAATATTTTGTTCATATTTGAAATGTGATTAATCATAAGCATGGCACACTTCGCCTAGATTTGGCGTCTATTTTGAAAATGGCCACCATTTTTACTTGTTATTTTACGCTTTTTCACAATAACTCAAAAAGTAATGAAGCGATTTTGTTCATATTTGATATTTGAATACAATTTGAAATCCTAAGCGTGGCACACTGCCCTATGACATAGCTATTAGGCAGCCATTTTTCAAGATGGCTGCCATTTACATGTACGTTTTGTTGTTTTATATGTGCCTACTATTATTTTTTATGTGTGTTATATTACGATTTTGCTATAACTGAAAAGCAGTTGAAAGATGGCTGTTCAATCCGGTTTGCTCTGCTTTGGCATTGCTGTTATCCAGTGTTTACTTTAGAGAAGATTTCTCGTTTCCATTAGTCTAATATTAAAAATAAATAAAAAGCAATTTACATATTATATGAATATATCACTGACATATTAGTTCTGAAGTTTTTGTATAATGCAGATATTCACATAGATGTGGATTCATAGATATGAAATGAATAAATGAGAACGGAAGTAAAACAGACTAATAATTAAACAAGATAATACAATAGAAATATCTCCAATACTCACTATATGTATTGATTTTATATACCTTTTTAATGAACACAGCAATCTTTATTTGAATGTGATGAACTGAGAGAACTGATGTGATGAACATCTATCATTTACACCTGTGATTATTTTCTTTAATATTAGAAGAATGTATAAATAATTATTAAGAGCTCTAAGTATTGTATTTGATGTAGTTTTTCGATACAGTTCGTATTAATTTCAAATCATTTCTTGTCAAAAGATCTAATCATGGCAAACCATGAGGATTTTAAAGAGCATCACCATACCTTTATTTGCACATAACTAAGTGAATACATCGATTAGAATATATCTATCATTAAGCAAATACGAAAGCACATAATCATGGCAGTATGAAGCAGACAAAAAATTTTCTGTATAAGATATAACAAGAATACAACATATTAGTAATATTAGTCTTCAAGGTGGATATTGGAAAACTTATGAAGCTTATTTGTGGTTTATTTTAGTGTAGAGGATGATGAGGAAAATACAAGCCCAGAACCACTGAGAAACCAACCGAGTGGTGGTGAGTAGAATTTATTTTGGTAAATTGATGAAATTACCTCAGTTTTTGAATAACATTTCATATTATTAAATCAAATCTTAGTGAGAAAATTGTAGAAATGTCATATTTATGGATTTGGTGATTAATAGAGGAGTTGCTTTGTAAATTGATGATCGATTGTGGTTGTATTTTTGTCAGGGAAGACACATGTCTCTCTTTAATAAATTTTAATAAATATATATACATTTTAATAAATCATATTATTTCTTGATTCATCAAAATATTTCCAATTGAATTAAAGATGAAGTATACCATAGGTGTAATGCCCAGACAGTCAATGATGACCCATTATTATTGCTCATATAAAATCTCACATACCAGGTAACTGGTACCCACCTAATTACACAGACGTATCGTCGGTGTATCATGGCGGAACTTCCTCCGGGACTAGGTTTCGGTAAGATTTTTTTATTTCCCGATTTACACCTACTTATAAGTCACGTTGTGGATAATAATTTGGCTCGAAGTTAAGGAAGATAGTCTAGTTTGAGAATGTGTCGATGGTTTTAGGTTTTATATGTTAGCAAAGACACAATTCACGTATTTAGTCCCTCGCTTTTCTTACACTGACGATCGGCATTAATATTGCCAATATTACACTGATATTGGTCGTTTGTCAGTGTAAGAAAAGCGAGGGACTAAATACGTGAATTGTGTCTTTGTTAACATATAAAACCTAAAACCATGGACACATTCTCAAACTAGACTATCTTCCTTAAATTCGAGCCAAATTATTATCCACAACATGACTTATAAGTAGGTGTAAATCGGGAAATAAAAAAATCTTACCGAAACCTAGTCCCGGAGGAAGTTCCGCCATGATACACCGACGATACGTCTGTGTAATTAGGTGGGTAGCAGTGAAGGATATATCTTGAGAAAAACTTGTTGGGTATATTATTGCCGAAATGTTGAAATAATAATAACAGAACAACTAACCTCCAGAATTAAACACAATTGATTCCTCGTCTGGTGAATCTCAATATGCAAAAAGGTCCCGAGGGGTCTTGATTGTACTGTCCTATGGTATAGAGTCTCTTTAATGTAATACTAAAGGTGTAAAAATAAAGTAGAAAATATACATATCTTCTAATACCTCATCAAAACAGGACTTGGCAAGATTTCAAAGTTATAAAGATATATTCATTGTTGTTATTGTGTAAGACATTGTTATGTTCAACAGGTGTAACTAGTCAGGGACATCAAGGACACAATCCTAATGATGACACATATCGTGCTTTACTGCGTAATGCCCCAGCCTACAACCCAACACCCATTAAACAGCTTGAAAGTGGCACAGCTCCCGTCCTTGCTAGTGAAGATCAGTATATTCCTGAGCCTCTCCCTCTGGAGAACATGCCAGACATAGCTCAGGTGGTCCAGACTGAAGAATACCAGCCTATATCATTTGAAGAGCATATATACCAGCCAGGTGTCAGCCAGATTGAATCTTACCAGCCTGCGGGTGTTGAAAGTGAAGCTGACGAGTATAAACCTGGTCAGGGAGAAGAGAAGTATACACCTACTCCTGTAGGAGAGTTGAAGGTGGCTGACAGTTATGTTCCTAGTTTGATACCAAGCCTTAACATAGTTAACCCAAGTGCAACAGGGGATAAGAAACATGAGGTTGATAGTCAAACTGAAACACAACGTGAAATTCCTACTGAAGACTCTAAGGAAAATACACCTCCAAGGAATAAAAGCGTACTCATCACTCAGAATTCTGAATCAGAAACCCCGTTTAGATCACCTTTGAAGATGAGTATTATTTTGAATGTGGCCTCACCGAGGAAAAAGAAGCAGAAAACACGGAAGACAAATATGACGGTTAAGAATCTGTCTGAAGTGTCCTCTACCAGATTAAGTGATCCTACAGAGAAAGTTAAACAGTGGTTAGATGGAGTTATTTTGAATGATGGACCTATACAGTTTGATGAAATTGAAGATACCATTGAAATTGACAGAGCTGCTGAGAAAAATATGGAGGGACTAGATTCCAAATTGGAAACTGCAAATACACAGGTGCAGAAACTTAAGCCAAAAGTTGGAATGTTCAAGCTAAAACCATTGTCATCACTGAGTAAAAAATATGCTGATAAATTGAAGTCATCAGATGCACATCAAAGTCCAGTGCATGTTCCATCTATGTTTGATGGGGAAAATCATGAACCTTATGCTCCACAGCCAGATCCAGTCACACGTGAAGATAGCACAGACAATGTGGAAAGTGACAATGATGACATTATAGAACCTGCACAGCAACAAAAGACTAACAAATCTGATCCTGATAATGTAACTGATGTTTCTCTACCCAAAGTAGGGCATCTGCAAAAATTGCAACTAAGAGGCTTCGGTAGATTTGGAAGAAGTAAACAAGAAGGTCCACATGATAATTCCATGAATAAACCTTCTGATGCAATTAAAGAAACTAGACCAAAGTTGAACAAACTTAATTTTGTTTCAAGTTCTTCAACCTCTCCATCACATAGCAGAGAGCAATTACAGGCATCATTAGATGAGGAGAACGCTAAAGCAATTGAAGCTATACAGATGCTAGGCCAAGGGTCACCTGATCCAAATAAATCTTTATCAGAAGATGAAGCTGCAAGTTCTGTTGAACCAATAAGAGCAGCTCCACGATTGGGAAAATTGAACCTTGTGAAATCATCTGGACTATTTTCATCAAGTAAAAGTCTAGTAGGTGATAAGAAACAAGTTGATTCAGTTTTAGAGAAAGGTATGGCTGATAAAACAGGTGTTGGTCCAAAACTTGGGAAATTGAATTTTACCTCAAATTTTCAATCTAAAGATGATACTGCAGCTGAAGTTGTGAAGTCAGTTAAGAGCTCTAGGACAGAGGAACAAAATAAGCAGAAAACAGTAATACCTAAAGAAGAGGTCCCTAGATTTGGTCCCAAACTAGGCAAATTAAGTTTTGCAAGTAGGGTTCAGAACAAACAGAATGACGACACAAAGCAACAAGAAGTTCAAGACCTCACAGGTTTAGAAAATCCTGAACAGGGGCATTCAACATTTGGCCCAAGACTTGGTAAACTTAGTTTCTTATCTAAGTCTCAATCAGAAAGTGTTGGGCACTCCCTAGGAAAGGAACCACTAAGTAATTCAGATAAGAATGATGTTAGTATGTCAGTAACAAGAAAAACAAATCCTAATGATGTAATTCCTGCCACTGGTGACACAAAAGATAATGGAAGTAAGCCAGCATCTGAGAAGACAATGTTTGGTCCTAAACTTGGGAAACTCAGCTTTGCTTCTAAACCCTTCTTAAAAACAACTGTTGATGCTCCACCAAAAGTTTTGACAGAACCAGTGAGAGATTCACAGGTAAAAGATAGTCAGTTGATTGAGAAAGTAACATTTGTTCCAAAACTTGGAAAGCTGAATTTTACATCTCGAGCGCACCATGAATCTGCTAAGAAAGAGGACTCTAGTGAGATTGATACTCAAAGTCCTGAACAGCAAGTTGAAGCTAACAAAACTCAGCAAAAGATTGGACAGAAGAACCAAGAAAGTGTACACACCGAGTCTAATAAAGAAAAACACATTTTTTGTTCAAAGTTGGGGAAACTCAATTTTGCATCAAAGTTACTCATGAAAGATTCTGATTCTAAATCCTTATCTGGAAGTAAGGAACATGATGTGAGCATAGATTCAGGAACCACTAAGAGTGAATTTGATCCTAGACATGAGAAGCTTGCCTTTACATCTAAGGATGATATTAAATTAAATGAAGAAGACTCAGCTGCTGTTGAAACCAAATCAAATGATTCCCATGTGACTAAGAAAACCACATTTGGTCCTAAACTTGGAAAACTGAGCTTTGCTTCTCGTGCACATCCTCGATTCTCTAACTGTAAACAAAACACAATCACTCCTGAAAATCTTGGTGATGCTAATGGTGTTGAAGACAAAACTGCATTTGATACTAAACTTCAAAAACTGATCCATAAATCCTCTGAAACAGATGTGCCACAGAATGAATTGGAAACTGATGAATGCATGGAAGAAAAGGAAGAGAAACCTGTGGATCAAACATTCAAACCCAGGTTAGGAGCACTCCAGTTGATAAAGCCATCAAAACATAGAACTTGCAATGATTCCACAGGATTGGGAGATACAGAAACAGAAAAATTTGTAATTGAACAAGAAGTTCCTCCTATTGCTAAACCAGTTGAGCCCAAACTTAGCAGATTGAATTTGATCAAAACTGCTCAAAGGTTAGATGTCAAACCAAACAATTTATCTGACTCTTTTAATGAAGCCAATACATCTCCTTTGAATGAAGATATTCCTTCAGAAACAATAGAAGAAACCGCTTCTGAATCACTTGATCAGGAAGTAACAGTAACAGTTAACACCATGTCAAAACTAGGAAAACTCAATCTCATATCATTAAGCAAGAAAGCCCCTGGAACTCAGCAATCAGCTGAAAAGCAAGCAACTACCACCTTTGGGGCAACATTAGGAACGCTCAGCTTCATGCAACAAAAATCTCAGAAAAAGCCTGAAATAGCCACTGCTGAATCACAACCACTTAACAAGCCAGGAGCTCGGTCAAATGAAGAATCAACACCAACATTCAAACCAAAATTAGGTAAGCTACATTTTGCTAAAAGAAGTGGCCCCCTTGTGAAACCAAAAGATAAACAAAAGTCTAGAACTTGTGAAAGTGATGTTGTGGAAAATGAGGATAGTGAGATAGAGAATAAAGCCCCTTCCAGCAAAGTATTTGGACCAAAACTGGGAAGATTGAGTTTTGTGAGGAGTACTCCCCAAGATAGAAAACCAGGGAATGGTTTTTCAAAATCAAGATCCCCACTTACTATTACTCAGGAACCTGTAAAAATTCCGAATCAAGGTCTGACTAAACCCGTTTACGTCCCTCAGAAATATGTCGATGAGCATGATCTAATATATTTGAAGAATCATCAAAAGACAGGGGAATTGGCTAAGCACTTACCAGCATTGTCAAAACTGACCGTTCATTACAAGAGAAATGTTCCTTTTAAAAATACTGTACTTGATGACTGGCTCTTTACAAAAAGTTGCCTGACAGATAGAGAGACAAGAATAGCATTAGCAAGGAGGTATGTACAGGAATTCTTTCAGAACGCACAGTTTGATTCACCAGAACTTTGCATCTCATCTCGCCTTCAGAACCTGAAATTACTTCATGATGCCTACTTAATAGCACCTATTCCAACAACAAATGTTGTCGTTAACATGGTTGTTTCACAGTCTAAAAATGGAATGGATTTAGCATCTGCTTTGCGTAGACATTCACAGTCTGCTAATGATGAAGATCAAGAGAATCAGCCAGAGACTTCAGAAGGAGGACGTGCAAACACAGCTACCACTGTAGATGATGTTTTGATGAATTTCCAGTCTGAATTGACTAGTATATTGACCGAATGTGGATTGGAAACAAAACCAACTGATCGGAAACCAGAGAAGGAATCTGAGAAACCACAACCAAAAAATACAACTGACCGAACAGTTGATGATGCGATGAAAGACTTCTATGGTAGTCTTGATGGTATGCTTAATAGCTTACTCAGGCCTCCAAGGCGTGATAAACCTAGGAAGAAAATAAAAAAGAAACCCACTGAAAGTAAAGCTGAAAGTACAAGCATGCAAAAACCTGAAAGAACAACTGCTACTGTGGAAACTGTGGTGCCAGAGAAAATTGCTCAGAAATTAACCTCTGAAATTACAAGATCAAAGGTGGTCACAAAACCAAAGGAAAAACCATCTGAAGATTCAGTGAATACAAAGTGTGAATCACATACTGATGTGCAACTTAAGCCTGTCAAATCACCCAAGAAAAAATCTGATTCAAATTCTGAGTCGCCAATAAAGGAGGCTTATTTATTTCCCATTGTTCCTGGAATTGATGTGAGTAAGATTCATTCAACTGATGTATTACCCAAAGTAGCTGAAATTCCAAAGTCTAAATCTTTTGATGAAGATATTGATGCCGAAGATGACACTGATTCTGATTCTTCTGACAGTGAAAGTGATTTAAGTGAACCTGATGATAAGAAAGGAGATGCAATTGAGCCAAAAACCAGAAATTATAGACAAAGAGAGAAATCGCAGGATAAAAAGACTAAAAAGCATAAAAAATTAAAGAAACACAGGAAGAAAGAAAAGAAGAAAAAGCATAAACACCGACATAAAAAGAAGAAAATACCAACAGAAAAGGCAGAAATTGATGCAATGGTAGCAAAATCACTTGGTGATATGTTTGGCAAAACTAAAGTTGCTAAAGTACCAGACTTATCACTCCTCAATGTTGACATGACTTATTCTGGTGTTGCTCCTCCAACATCATTAAATAACCAAGACCAAAATGTTAAAACTTTAAAACCTGAAAAAGATATAATTCAAGACCAAAAACAAGAGGAATCTATTGTAGATGAGGAGGACTCTTATTGTCCATTTAGTCCAACTGCTTCACCTGAGCGAAACAAGATCGAGGAAAGTGTTAGTTTTCCCAAAGGTACTACTTCAAAATATACTGAATCCAAAACAAAACCAAAACATAGTGATGGGGAGCTTGTAAAATCTCAAGGCATTGAAAAGGCAAAGGTAGATAGGAAGACTGAAGTGATGCATAGCTCTAGAAATGACAATTCAGTAAAAGTGACAGAGCCTAGAAAAAATGAAGAGCCACTTCAAAAATCTAAAAAAGATCCTGTAAAGGAGTTGATTTTTACTGAAAAAATAAAGGTTACAATTCAAAATACTAATGCCAGAAATGATATGAATGATACTAAAACTGCAGATGAGACAAACAAAGAGCCTTCTAAGTTGATTAAACCTGTACAGAAAAAGTTGTTAAAGCTTGTTGACCTTGGTGAGGAACCAGAATCTTCTAGGTCAAGGTTCACACGACAAGTGTCATCTGAGGTAACTAAAAATTTCTTTGAGAAAGATTCACCTCCAAGAGCAAATTCAGGCCAGGAAAAAAATGTCCAAGAAAAAAGCCAAACCACGAAATATTTCTCTGAGGAAAAAACACAGCCAAGAGCTACGTCAAAGCATGCGCATATTGTTGAAGAAAAAGATTCTGCTGCTTCTACAAAAGATGGCCTCCAGAAGAAATTGCTACATGAAGATACCTCAAAATATGGGAAAGAAAACAAACAAACTGATGATGTATCATATGATACTAAAGGACAAGCAACAACGGAGGACCAGAATAAAAAACATATGAGATCACCTCAGCAATTTATAGACATGTCAAAGACAACTGTATTACAAGCTTCTTCAGATGAAAAATCAAATATTGGTGATTTTGACAGTCACAAGAAAAGGTATAGAGATGATAGTCCATCTCAAAGAGAAGATCGAGATGCTTTCTCACAAAAGAGAAGATTTCGTGAGGAACCACCAGAACCACGTGATAGGGATCATAGTCCTAGAAGAAGGTTTCATGAAGAGCCACCAGAGAGATACACAAGAGATACAAGCCCACACAGAAGAAGACTCCGAGAAGATACATTAGATAGCAGAGAGAGACATAGAGACGTCAGTCCCAGAAGAAGATTCAGAGAAGATGTACAAGATACTCGAGATAAGGATATTAGGGAAAATAGTCCATCAAGGAGAAGGTATAGAGATGACATCTCGCCAAGAAGAAAGCCATATAGAGATGACAGATATGACAGCCATAGAGAGAGTCAATATGAATGGAATAGAGATGACAGATATGAAGGTCACAGAGATGACTGGAACAGAGATGGGCTATATGAACGGAGTAGAGATAGTCGACATGAGCGTAGTAGAGATGACAACAGATATAAAGATGAAAAGTATAAAAGAACAGAACGAGACTTCAGAGATGAACGTGACAGGAGATATCGATATGAAGGAAGTAGGAGATCAACAACCAAAAGTGAATCTGAAAAAGAAATAGATATAGCCATGCCTGCAGTTCCATCTGGTATGCAATACTATGGATATTATAGCTTGTCAGAAAAACAGCCTAAACAAATGTACAAATGTACATCTGAATTTAAAAGCAAAATGATTCGACCCACATCTTGTTTTCATTTAGCTCTTTCTGTAGCTCGAAAAGATATAATGCAAGAAGTTGAAAAACAGCAGGATCCCCTCAAAGAAACAATTAAAGAAAGGATTAGTGAGGAAGCAGATGTGAGTGCCCTCCAGACTCAAGTTGGTGATACATTACAGGAAACTGGATCTAATGAAGAAGTCAATGAATATGGTAGCAATAGTGAACTCAGTCAACAAACCACAACAAGTGTAGACTTCACAGCTTCTTCACATATGCCTGTAGTAAATGAATATGGGACAGCTCTGGAAAGTAATCTGACAGAGGATGATGAAAATATCAATGAATACGGTACAAAAGTTGGGAAGACTCTGGAAAGTAAATTGACAGAAGATAATCATAAAATCAATGAATATGGTACAAAAATTAATGAAGTTCAAGATTCAGAAATCACAAAGCAGTCTGCTCAAAATGAAAATAAGGATACCTCCAAAATGGATGAAGCTGTTACTTCTGAATGTAAAGATCAAAATAAAGAGGAACTCCTTCTTACTCCTAATGTGAAAGGTCCTGAAAATCAGCAAAAAGAAATAAGTTCTGAAGGGAAGAAAGATGATGATAAAGGGAACATATTTGAAATATTCCAAACAGCGGAAGTTGGACCTGAAACAACTGCACCAAATACTTCAAGCTCCAAACCTGAAATAAATGATGTTCTTGAAATTGAAGCTCCTAATGATGATTTTGATGAAGAGATGGAAACAAGTCACATTGCAGAAACTGAATATGACAGTGTGCAAGAAGATACAGCGAGCAAAAAGATAAGTGGTCCAACTCCTGAGCAACTATCTAAGCTTCAGGAACTTGTTCAAAGTATGGCTAAACCTGGGCCTAAAACAGAGCAAATTGAAAAGGAGAAAAAGAAAACTGCTGCCAAAAAGCCTAGTTTACTTACCAAGGCTTTTAAACAAGCATTAATGACAAAGAAACAAAATGTTGAGACAGCAAGGGCAACAGCAATTCTAAAATCTATAAAAGAGAGGGCAAAGGAATCTGTTAAGGCCAAAGTACAACCAGAACTTCAAATTAAGAAACCATCTGTACCAATTGAGGATGCATATGAAGCGGAGGCATATGAAAATGAAGAATTTGAAGTGGCCAAACCGGGTGCCCTTCCTAAAGTTAGTAAACCAGTAATCTTATTTAAACCACCGCCTATGGACTTGAATAATGCCAAAGATGTCAGAGAGCGATACCATCAAGCTTTGGTTAATAAAGAAATAATAGTCCCTCCAATTCCTGAAATTGGTTATCACACAAACTATGAGAATAGACAGCGACAAAAGATGGAAGAGGGTGATGTCCTTGTATTGCATGACTTGTTCTACAAGAAGAAAATTGTTGGAAAAACTGGAGCTATCATTGATAGTGATTTGACTGATATAACTGTTGTTGAATCACTTAAACTGTTTGTTCAGTTTACTGGAAAGATTTGTGAAGATTCTGATGTTGTACAACAAAAGAATGACTTTCTTAACTATGTTCTCTCTCCATTTAAAGACCAGACTAAGAAGTTTAACGATTCTCACTTAAGTGCTTTATCACCGATTGTCAACTCACTATACAAAAACAGAAAGGCGAGAAAACCATCGATGAAGCCCAGCAGAAAAAGAAAGATAAGGGTACTGAAACAGGTGAAAAAGGTGGCAATTAGTCGGCAGAAAAAATCAGAAAAAATCATTTTGCCTCAACTTCAAAGTAAAGCCCCACAGCAAGTAAAAGATTTGGCAAAGCCAGTTATTCAGGATACACATATCCCAGTGTCTGGAGTAAAAGATCAGAAACAAGTAGTGGATCAGGTGCCTAAGGTAAAACAGCAACTACCAACAGAAGAACACCATATACCAACTGGTATTAAACCAATTACAGAAGAACAAACACAATCTGGAGATCTTAAACATATAGAAACTGAGGTGTCGATGGAGAAAAAGGTTAAACTGACCGAAGTACCAAATGAAAGTGTAAAGGATATCCAATCGGAAAACACAGAAAAAACAACTTTGGAAATAAAAATTGCAAATGAGGAACAGTTGATTAAAGAACAAGAAGAATTGACATTGGAACAAGAAGAGTTAATAGCAAGACTCACTAAGAAATCAATATTTCTGCCTACAGATTCAAAGGAAGCTCTTCCTCAAATTCAATCTGTTGAACCATCCAAAAGAAAACAGGATGATCAGTTTGGTGATGATAGGAAGAAACCTAAAATGGATATTCCTGTTGATAAAAGCATTGAGAGTATGAATGATGATGCTGTTGTGCCACCTTTGAAGCCTGGGCTGTCAAGAGAGAGATCAGACTCGCCTAAGCCTAAAGATAGGAAAAGGAAGAAAATTGAAAAAATGGATGAAATGAGCAGCAAGGTAATTGCAGGTCTAGTTGATGAAATAGATGATGAACACCATCTTGAAAGTAAACAAAGCACTGATGATGCGAAGAAAAGAAAAATGGAAGAGGATTCTGGAACAGAAAATCTACCTAAAATAACTGAGGCTAAAGCTGATGTGCGAATGGAAGTAGATGCCTTGCCAGATATTAGTAAAGCTGTGGCTTCGCGATCGCCAGTTAAAACAGCAAACATACCTCTTCCTGTTCCTAGAGCTGCTGAACTTATGCAGAAATCTGATGCCTTAAAGCAGAGTGAAAGTACAGTGGAGCAACCCAAGACAATGGAACCAACAAATGTGGATAAGCCAGTCAGTAGATGGGATAAAGTGACCAAGAAACCCATAGTGCTTGAAATTGGTAAACCAACAGATTTGTCGAAAAAAACTCAGATTGTTGAGAAAATAGTCGCTGTAAAAACAAAAGAGAAATCTGCATCACCAGAAAAAGAAGAGACGTCAGTCTCTAAAATCCCTCAGTTCATTATTCAAAAGGTTTCTCAACCTGTTGTGAATCCTGGTACCATTGGATGTTTCCCATATCCAAGTGCATCTCCTGCTACCAAGGAACCCAAATCAGACCCAGCACCAAATATACCAGTGCCCTCTTATTATGATACTAGTATCTCAGGTCAATATTCGACAACATTGTCATATACAACATCTGCTGGAGCACCTTCAGGGGAAGCAGTAAAACCAGACTCAACATCTAAAACATCTACTGCAAAACCTTTCTTTATTGGAAAAATGAAGAAATTTTCATCCGCAAAGGAAACCGCAGATGCAACCAAAGCTGGTGAGAAAGCTGAAACAGTTGCAGAGAATGAAGCACCTCCCCCACCTCCACCTGAGGATAAACTGGATGCACCAGTACCTCCAATTCCTGAGCCTCCTCCTCCTCTACCAGAAGACATACCTAAACCAACACAGTATTCATCCAAACCTGTGGCATATAGCTCCAAGCCTGTGGCATACACCACCAGCCAATCTTCAGTTAAACCTCCCGAGCCTCCACCGGCCAAAATCAGCCTCTCTACGTTAGACTCTGCTACAGAGGAGGCTGTCAACCAGCAAGCAGCAAATGCTAAAGCCTGGCAAGAGTACTGGAAGAAACAGCAAGATGGAACACCAGCTTCGAGCTCTGAAACTGAAGCAGGTGCTACACCCTGGACTGCTGAGCAACAGCAATGGGCAAGTCAATATGGATATGACCAATACAATCAGTATAGTCAAGGAGATCAGCAAGGAAACTGGCAAAATTATTGGTATGGTCAGGGCTATAACTATCCTCAGGGTGGATCTGGATATGATCAGTATTCTGATCCAAACCAATGCCAAGGTGGCCCACCCCCTGGGCCATGGATGGGTATAGAGGGACACCCACCACCTCCACCCTTTGGTGCACCACCACCCCCTTGGGGAATGCCACCCCCACCCTGGGGACAATGGGGACCACCACCTCCACAAGGACAATGGGGCGAGGGATATAATAATGATTATGAGCAGGATAACAGACCAAGTGGAGACTGGATGCCTACTGCAGAGAGGATGAAAGACCTCAAAGTAACTAAGGTAAGAAGACTACGTATAACTACATCCATTTAAGTAATATAACTAGTATAAGTACATTTTGTAATATGTTTGTTTCTATTGCTCAGGCTTCATCTGAAAACTTCAAAACATTTATTTTTCATTTCATATATTCCAGGTTTCTCCAAGGGATGGAACATGTATGTATGTGCATAACAAAGACAAGGCAAAGTGCAAGAGTGTACATGTAAGTGTCATTTTGGATATATTCAAATTTCCAATCAATATTGATTACCAGAATAATTGTTTTTAAAATTAGAATGAAGTAACATGGTTAGCATAAAATCTAATATTTGATATGGAATGGTTAATTAAACACTTAAAGATGTGTTCTGGTGGTGAGTGCTTGATGTGCAGTGTGTACATTCCCAATGACTACTATTGATACATAATACTTTGCAGCGGTTCCTGCTGTTCATGGGTGCTAAGGACTTTGACCCATACTCACCCACACTACTGAAGGCCATCAGGAAGGTGGAAGCCATAGTGCTGATCCACAAGGACGACAAAGACCTCATCCACACAGTGCCTAACCTGGTGCAGTTGAAGCAAGACCCTGGTATACAATTCTTATCATACAATGATGTCATTGATGTGAAAGAGAAGAGCTATCTGCCTATATTGGAGAAAGGAGGAATTGCAATGTTGGATAATGAGGTGTTATTCTCAACTCCACCTGGTATGTAATTGTAATACATATTATTAGATATAGCACGCTTCTATACTTTCCCATTGACTACAATACAAATGCTTCACTAGGTAGCCCAGATTCAAAGGCTAGGATACAAGACATGAGTGTATTAAATCTCCCACAACTCATTGAGTCTTGTGATCAAATTCTTTAATTCATACTGCAAAAGAATTTTATAGTATTCTACAATGAAGAAACCCTGGAAACAGGTTATTTAAAAAGATTATTTTTCAGTGGAGTCATTAATCTTGACAATCTGAAAATTACGTTGTTGAATTCTCATACAGTAATTGAGATCTACACAGGGCCTTTAAGTCAACATCCATCATATTTCATGTGTTTGTTTCAGAATCACTTCAGACTTTGTGCGACTACTTTGAGTCCCAGACCTGGAAGGAGGGCACAAACTGGTGCATCAAAGTACACGCTCACACCATGCTAAAGCTGCAGAAATTAAAGTATGTATAAAACATGAATAATAGGTGTACATGATCTTGGTTTTATTAGCATTAGTTACATTGAATCACAAAACCAGATTGCCCATTGTACTCAGACAATGTAAGACACCCCTTTTTATACACAGTAGAACTTGAAATGATTTTTAACATCTCTCTTTGATTTAAATTGGCACAATCTCAAAGAACTCATAAAAATTAAAATACATTTGATTATCATCTTTGTGTAAACTTTAATGAACGATGATGACACAAGATTCTTTTTATGTCCCCACCACATAGTGTGGGGCCATATTGTCGGCCTAGGCGCGTCCGTCTGTCTGTCCGTCTGTCTGTCCGTCTGTCTGTCCGTCCGTACGTCCGGCAGTTTTCTCCAAAACTGCTACAGATATCATCTTCAAATTTTCAGGGATAACTTATGAGTGCATACAGATGTGGATGAAAAAAAATTAACTCGATACCTACTTCCTGTCGGCCATTTTGAAGTCAAATGCTAAAATCCTTGTCTGCAAACTTTAAGAAAAACAGCTTCACAGTTGCTTTTAAAACTTTAATATCTTGTTCAGCTCACTTCATTCTAGATCTGATTAGGTTTTAGACCTGTTAGCTCAGTCATGTCAGCCATTTTGAATGTTTTAGAAAAGTAAGCGCACAATAATACTTTGTATCATATTGAATGGTGTTTTTCAGTTTTTACTTAAACTATTTCGTAGCTTTATAAATAATTTCAGGTGTACTTTGTTGTAAAAGCCTATGTTATTGTTAACAGTAGTTATATGTGATAATTTTGTAAAAAGACTAGGCGCGTCCGTCTGTCTGTCCGTCTGTCTGTCCGTCCGTACGTCCGGCAGTTTTCTCCAAAACTGCTACAGATATCATCTTCAAATTTTCAGGGATAACTTATGAGTGCATACAGATGTGGATGAAAAAAAATTAACTCGATACCTACTTCCTGTCGGCCATTTTGAAGTCAAATGCTAAAATCCTTGTCTGCAAACTTTAAGAAAAACAGCTTCACAGTTGCTTTTAAAACTTTAATATCTTGTTCAGCTCACTTCATTCTAGATCTGATTAGGTTTTAGACCTGTTAGCTCAGTCATGTCAGCCATTTTGAATGTTTTAGAAAAGTAAGCGCACAATAATACTTTGTATCATATTGAATGGTGTTTTTCAGTTTTTACTTAAACTATTTCGTAGCTTTATAAATAATTTCAGGTGTACTTTGTTGTAAAAGCCTATGTTATTGTTAACAGTAGTTATATGTGATAATTTTGTAAAAAGAAATCAGCAGAAACTCATAATCACTTTTTTATTGTCGGCCATTTTGGATTTTTCCGTCCTAAAACTTGTCTGTAAAGTCTTGTCTACGCGTTTCCAGGTCAACCGTTTGGTAGATCAATTTCAAATTTTCAGGGATGATTCTTAGTATGAAAATCTAGATCTGATTAGTTTTTGGGCATTCTGGGTAAATGTCAAGGCAGCCATTTTGGATTTTCCGTCCTAAAATCTTGTCTGTAAAGTCTTGTCTACGCATTTTCAGGTGAACCGTTTGGTAGATCAATTTCAAATTTTCAGGGATGATTCTCAGTATGAAAATCTAGATCTGATAAGATTTTGGGCATTCTGGTTAAATGTCAAGGCAGCCATTTTGGATTTTCCGTCCTAAAATCTCGTCTGTAAAGTCTTGTCTACGCATTTCCAGGTGATCCGTTTGGTAGATCAATTTGAAATTTTCAGGGATGATTCTCAGTATGAAAATCTAGATCTCATCAGTTTTTTGGCATTCTGGATAAATGTCAAGGCAGCCATTTTGGATTTTCCGTCTTAAAATCTTGTCTGTAAAGTCTTGTTTACGCGTTTTTAGGTGAACCGTTTGGTAGATCAATTTCAAATTTTCATGGATGATTCTTAGTATGAAAATCTAGATCTGATTAGTTTTTGGGCATTCTGGATAAATGTCAAGGCAGCCATTTTGGATTTTCTGTCCTCAAATCTTGTCTGTAAAGTCTTGTTTACATGTTTTCTGGTTAACTGTGTGACGGATCAATTTCAAATTTTCAGGGGTGGTTCTTAGTATAAAAATCTAGAACTGACTAATTTTTTTGCATTCTGGGTAAATTTTAAGGTGGCCATTTTGGATTTTCCGTCCTCAAATTGTGTCGGTAAAGTCTTGTCTACTCATTTTTAGGATAACCATTTGTGTTCTTGTTGTCATATAATATCAAAGCTTGAAAATTGCTTTTATTTGGGCTTACTTAACAATGTTAATACAGACACACACATATATATTGCAGGATGGATAGCAACCCTGCTATGGCAGCTGCCAACAAGCATGCTGAGGAGACTCTTGCCATCATTAAGCTTTATAAGGATGTAGGCGTTGTTGACATCATGGTGAAACACGACTGTGACAAACATCGTAAATCCTACCTAGAGGCACAAGATTACCTCCACTGTTACACACATATCCAAAATGAAAATATCAAAATTGCTCGTCATCATATACTCATATCAGGTAAAGAATTTAACTGAGATTTAAGCAGATTAAATTAAGCATTGACTGTGAATTAAAGAACTGCATATTTGTGTAGATACAAAATGGTTAATGTTGTGACTTATTTAACTCTCAAGTGACTTAGTCTGTTAGTCACAAATATATCTTAAACGTACAACTTTTTGACATAGATTACTGGCATAGAAATATCTGTCCCAGACTCCAGTCTTGTTCCTCCATTTTAGTGAACTCATCTTTTGTTGTTCATATTTCTAAGATATAAATGAACCATAAAATACATGTGCTACATCTGTACTATTGAGTCAGTTAAGAAAAGGGACTACATCAAAGCTCACACTTCATGAATAACCCTTTTATGTACTGTATACACTTAGCATTCCCATAAGTCTAGATTTAAGGTAATAATCACCCATGTTTGTATTTCAGATATAGATCCTAGTAGTGTCAGTGGTCAGATGTTCCTACACAATGGTATAGACATCCAAACATTCTCATCGTTCTGTAAGAAGTATGCCAAACTGGATGTTCTTGTCTTGCCACAATCCGTACAAGGTATGTAGTTATGTAGTTCAAATGCTGCACAAATAATGGATTAGTTGGTTGGTGTGTGTGCGATGAGTCTGGATATATGCCCTTTTGGTCACTCAGTGAAATGTTTGTGAAATATAGTTTTTATAACTGTCCTAGTTATATTTGATAAGTATATTTACTTTTTCATGAGTTTTGATGCATAATTAACCCCCTGCTGCGAGTCAAATAAGTATCCTAACAGAAAACAAATAATGATTATCAGAGAAAAAAACACCAATGGCTACATGTATGACATGTAAAGTAGAAATAACTATAAAGACCCATGAGGAATTAAAAAGAAAATCATAATTTTTAAATATACTTTAGGATTTAAATTTTTTCAAATTCAAAACAGGATGGCTGCCATTTGATGTAAGAAATGGTTTAGGTTTTTTGACTGATTCTGACTCTTCATCACCAGGATCATGCATAGAGATTATAAAAATTGAAACCAAAATGTTGTGCTCAGCATGAATTTGACTGAAATATGTATAATTTCACCAACATAATTGAAGTGTCAAAACTGGATGCTCAGTAACTTTGAGTGACTATAATCCCTTGATTATCCAGATAAACACCAGTTCACTTATCAAGAAACACCATTCAATGTCTATACAAAGAAAGTGAGCAATGTTTTGGAGGATAAGTTTTAAACTTTTTGTATAAATTATTCATTTAGTATTTGCATTTGATTTTTTTTCAATTGTGCCATAGTAATATACATTCTCTTTGTTGCCAATAATCTCATTAATTGTGATACAAATTGATATTTTTGTACTCTCAGAAGAAGGATAAGATATTGAGGTTTAATAATTTGTGTGATTGAGTTGGTTTTTCAGACATTACAATTTGCAATATTTTCAAAGTCGATATCTTGACTCACTACCGGACTTATCCTTTTGTATGAATCATTTTCTGTTATCTTTACTATTTATTTCACAATTTCATGTTGTGTTTCAGGTCCAAGTGGTGTTGATCACCCACTGTATCGTGCAGCCCTACTCAGTAGTGGCACTGAGCAGCTATTGTCTCCCTACACACCTGATGAGTCCAGTATGGCTGAGGCACTACCCTTGCTACCCCCAGGCACCAGCCCCCCTAGGGATACCCCACATCTTAAACCACCCCCAATGAGGCCACCTCCAAAGATCCCATCATTATTTGAAATTCGACCTCAAGGGTCTGAGATGGATACAGCACAAAGTGATTCCCCCAGTCAGGATTCCTGGCATACTGGACCAAGGGGACCACCTCAATCTCAAGTATCTCCTCATCATAGCACTAGAGGCCCCCCAGGGCAGGAATCGGGGGAAGGAAGATTCAATGTACCTCCTCCACATGGTGGCCATGGTAGTCAGGTATCCCCTCCAGGAGGCTCCAGGCCTCCACCTGCTAATGGACCTAGGGGACCACCCCCTAGCCACTCTGATCCTTGGGGACCACCCTTGAATCAATCTGGACCAAGGGGACCACCCCCTAATCAATCAGTACATAGGGGACCATCTCCAAGTCAATCAGGACCTAGGGGACCTCCATCAAATCAGTCTGGACCTAGAGGACCTCCACCGAGTCAATCTGGACCTCCTCCAAGCCAGTCTGGACCTCCCCCAAGTCAGTTTGGACCAAGGGGACCTCCCCCAAGTGAATTGGATCACAAAGGACCTCCACCCAGTCAATATGGCCCCAGAGGGCCTTCTCCCAAATCTCTGACTGGGGCAAACATGACCCCTATCACTCCCAACGTTGGGCCCAGAGGAGCCCTTTCTGGGGGCATAAGACCCCAGACTTCATCCCTTCTGAAGGGAGCAACAACTGAGGGACCAAGGCTAACTCCTTTGGCTTCAAGAGGCTTTAAATCAATGGCAAAACCTGCAGCTAAACCCTACACTCCCCCAGTAGAAGAGCCAAAACCTGTAGAACTGGAGGATCCCTTAGACAACCTACCTCCAGTACAGAGTATGCCTACACCTCCTATAAGAATGAAAGTCAGTAAAGGAGCTACCATGCCTTTCAAGCTGAAATTTCCATTTGGGAATGTTGAGGAAGAACCACTACCCCCAGGTATAGCACCAGAACGACAAGGCACTGGAGGGTCTATGATCCCCCCACCCCCTAAGCAACACCCGTTCAGTAGCATTAAGGAAGTGCCCCCTATAAGACCAACACAGGAGGTAGAGACCCAGGGAGCTGAAGAGCAAACAAAGGAGGTGCCCCAACAGGCATCTGGTGAGAAAAAACTTGAATCAATACAAGAAAAAATGCTGCGGATGATCAGCAAATAATGACATTGGAATATTTTGAAATGATTAAATAGTTCACAATCCAAGTTAATTTTCAGAGGTATTTATTACTCATGCACAAAACAATTTTGAATTCATCAAATGCTTTTAAATCTTCTGAATCTTTTTTTGGCTGGCACAGTATAATAATGTACATTGCCCAGAAATTGTGACTAAATTAATTTAATTTTTGCCCTATCCTTGGGACAGTTCATTAACTGATCTGAATAAAGAAAAATATGTGCACATTTAGTTGCTGGTGGTTATCGACTAAGTAGCGTGGAATTGACGTTCATGCAGGCAACTCAGGTTGAAGCACACTCAAGTTGTATAGTAGTAGATAATGTCATTTTGGTTTCAGTAAAAACAAGATATTAATTAGTGATTAGACAGTAGAAAGTAAGTTTCCATTGTACTGTGATTGTGGGAATAGTATGTTGTCTTGGTAACAAATACACATTGTATGTACACATACTAATGTTCAAACTGTCTGGGTAAAAAGTTCATGTCAAATGTTGTAGGTACACGTGCTACTGTTATGTTCAAAATTTCGTGTTGAGTTTTGAAGAACTTTCATGTAAATATTTCATAATTCATAAAAGTACAAAATGTCATTAAAAATTAAATGATGTTAAATTAAGCAGTACTGACAGATCTTTTATTTTCATGTTGCAATATCACTTGTATCATATATTTTCCCATGCAATATTTTATTATTATGTTATGTTAGAATGGGCTCAAAATTTGGTTTATATACACTTGTGTTACAAGTCCATTGTTTTCACTGATTTAAGAATTATGATAAAACTGAGACAAAAATATTTCATTTTTGCTTACTAATATGATTCAAATAAAATGACTTAGTTAATATGATAAAAATATGCACTGTACTAAATAGTTTGAAACCATTCTTTCATTTTGCTTTTTACTACACTTGTCATTTAGATGACATGGACAAATCTTATTTAGATTACTCATTGCTTCATTAAAAGCTTATGTATATTTTATAAAAAAACTATATTGATAAAATATTATATTGTATGTAAGATTACTATATCAAATTATATTAGAGATAATAGATTCAAACTATAACATTACCCAAATTGTAGTATATTGTATCTTATACTAATTGTATCAAAAAGGATGATTTTGGGGAACAAATAAAAACATAGAAATTCTATTCTTTTTTTTGTTTTGAACTTCATTCTGCTTCAGATTTTCTTCTAGAAATATCTGGAGCAAAATTAAAAGCAGTTGCCAATAGTACAATCCAGATTCCATTGAAGGAGCCTGGCACATGTGAGGTTTAGCTTCCCCTTCTATAGGTCACAACATGGTCACAATCATCCCATTAACATTCTGAATGATAAGGCTGTAAGAGAATATTGCAAAGAGCCATCTCACTTCTGTCCTCTATTCCTCAAAACCTGACCTCATGAAACCTAATCAAGTAGTAAAGATGTTCCAGTAAAGACTGATAGAAATATTACATACTATTCTAGTATATACATCATTTAAGGATTAATGAATACAAACAACAGTGATATCTTTCTATCTAAAAACAAACTCTTGAGCATTAAGTTTGACCAGTTGACAACTGTCTAAAATGTATTTTAAAATTCCAAGAGGAAACCAAAGAAAAAAGAAAATAATCTATTGACAATTTACTGATATTTATTGCATCTAAAACAATATACAGTGTACAGATTTTGTCAATTATGTTTGAACTTTTTAAATCTGGCCATTTAAATGGAGCTATATGCAAAATAGCAGTATTCTAAAGTAAAGACCATTCCCTCATGATTAACATGTGAAATAAATATGTTTATAAATACATAATGTGGAAAAAATGTCAATCATAATCTTCATATCAGAATTTGGATACAAAACATACACATACAGTCTACATTGCTATCTTACAACTCAAAAAGCACCACTTTACTTCGCATTTAAATAAAATTATGACCAGCATCCATCACCATGATGTGCCTCAATTATAATATAGGTGTAACCAGAGAAGATATGTAACGAGGAAATCACATGATAAACTGATTGCTGTCGTGAAATTATGTGTGAAGAGCAAAACAAATGCCAGTCACAAAACAATTACTGTTTTTGGCCAGTATAAGTATCATGCAGAAACACTCAAACACACTCAAGGTAGGACATGTGATGTCTGAATGGCTTGAACAGAAATAATTATACAACTCAAAGTGACACTTATACCAGCACATAAGCCTTTGTTAAAGTCACAGAAAGACACTTGAGTTAAATGCTGGATGGAATATTAGAAGTTTTCAATAGTTGACGTCTTCACGTTGTAGATCACTTGGAGACAAGCAGGTTTCAATCTCACGCTGCTTTTGAATAAGACCCTGGAAATATACAATGACGATACTGTTTTACCAAATTCTACAAAGCACCATATTCTCACATTCAAAACAATCAAGAAGCAAAAAAATATTCCAATTTCATTGGAAGTTTTGACATTTTCAGAATTGATATTTAAAGGTAGTCTAATTAGTCTAAATTGCTAATGCTGTTTGGAATAAACAGTTTATACCTTCCTAATGTCAGACAGCTGCTGTAGTATTATGTCTTGACGTGGAGTAGGGTGATCAAGTACAACACTAGGATTGAAGATGGGGTCCTGGGAATAACAAAGCATTAATTTTGCAAAATTAATTGTGACTCTAAAGACCTATTTTCTCAGAACATATTGAGAATACATGTAATAATTTAAATTAGTAAAAGTAAAATTGTCTCATTCTAAATATTATATTAAAAAAAGGCATCCAGACATCCCACTTTGTATTTAAACAAGAAACATTTTGGTACCTTGCTATGGCTCTTGGAAGGAGGTCTCTCAGGCATCATATTCTCCAGTTTTGTGTCATTATAGTACTCCACGTGACCCCCATAGTTGGCAGGATTCAGCCCTTGTTTGTAAGCAATCCTGGCTCTCTCCATGCGGGAATTCTCGCGTGAGGGGGGACATGGGGAGTCCGCATGGGCAGGATCTAATATATCCTTAGTCCGAAGAAAAGGCACAAAATCTCCCGTTGCGATAGGTGGTGATACTGCCTTATAATCTTGATATTTACCAAGCGGTTCAGTCTGAGACTGCGAGTGATAGTTCTTATAAGAATGTTGATCCATATCATACTGATTCTGATAAGTCCCTGGAGCATTTTTCAGAATACTTCCTGCTCTTGGAGACTCGTGATGTTTTGACTGATTTTTATGATTCAAAGTTGGAATGGGTGGACTTTTTGACCTATGTGAATGAGGAGGAGACTCGTGATGTTTTGACTGACTTTTATTATTCAATGTTCGGATTGGTGGACTTTTTGTTCTATGAGATTGAGGGGGAGGAGTTGGATTTGAATGTTGTGCTCTCCGTCGATTTCTTTCTGGTGGAGGAGATGTGTTGTTTTGTATTGCATTGGAATGTCTAGCATGTGATTCATATGTCCTACTGTCTATTTCAGGGGTAGGGATACCCTGTTGTATAGTTGTACTCCTGTGACTTGATGGACCCCCATCTCTTGGGGGTGATCGTGACCTAGATCTTTCCCGTTTAACCACATTTTCAGGTATTCCCTTCATATTAGCTTCAATCATTGCTTTCAGTTCTTCAGCTCGTTTTAATTTACGAGCCTCAGCTTGTTTTTTATTTCTTTCATAAAAAGGATCTCGTTCCGATTGTTTCACAGGTTTTTTCTTTGCCTTTTGACCCCAACCAGGCCTCTCTGAAATCTTCTGTGTACCTTTGCGCTTTGGCTTCTCCTCAGTCTCCTTTTCAACCTCAGGTTTTTTAGAGTTCTTTTTGGCACTTATCACCCTGACTTTCTTGCCCTTTGTCTTGGCTTGATCGTGAATGGGACCTTCATATTCTATATCCATACTTCCAGTTCTTTTCATGTCATCTTGACCTAGTTCTGAAAATGATAAATGAGATGCCATGGTGACCATTCTTCAACACTAAACAGAGTGAAAGGAACAATTAATAGACTGACTGACATATTTTCTCATTGAATCAGAAATTATGAAGTGATTTAGAACTGAAATGATTTGAGAGAGACTGTACTTTAAACAGATGATTTTTTATATAATTGATTATAACATTTTTGTCTTCATTGTTTTCTTTTGTGTCAAGACAAATAGCATAGTATTAGGTAAACAAAGAAAGTCTATTGGTGGCCTAAGATAAGTTATCAGCTACCATAAAATGATACAGCATATTCTTAATATCCAAACACTCACCTGTTTGGATTCCAAACTCCCTCCTAGATGACATTGGATCTGTACTTCCCTGCTTGTATTTACTGGGTATCACCACCTACCAAGTAATCAGAACAACATTAGAATATTAAAAATACAAGTGTCCAACTGTGACACTTTCAAATAATACTTTTTTTTCAAAACAACATTTTTTGCCTATTTTAGTTCAAACAAATCATATTTTGTGAACACATTGTACATGCATTGCGATACTGTAACCTCAGGGCCTAAGACACTACTAACTCATAATAAATATTCCATCATGACTATACACAAGGGGTCTACTAAAAATTCTTGCACTAAATTTTACAAGTGATCTGATTCATTAACCCAGAGACAACCCACCTTCAGATAACTAGGATGTCCATGTTCCATAGAATGGTTTCCTTAAAAATGACTTTCATTAAAAATTGCCTTTTCACTTATTCATGAAATGAAATGAATTCCAAAAAACATGTGCAGTCAGAATGTCTATTTAAGGAATAAATAATGATAGGCCATTCAATATGGTGAAATTCAGCACGAGTTGGACAGAATGTTGTACAAAGCATGAACCAAAGGTGAGTGCATTTGTACTAACATTCTGTCCAACGAGTGCTGAATTTCACCATATTGAATGGCCTATCATTATTTATTCCGATTCAAACATAAAAATTAGTAAAAGCCGTGTCTGTGGAACGGGCATGAAGGAAGAATACGCATGCTGTCAAGATTCTGAAGTCGGCCGGAAAATTTTTAGAATTTGTTTGGGCTGTTCTATTTAACTCCCCGTTTTAGATTTTATACGGTGTATGCAAACATGGGGTGTTGATAAAATAAAATAGTTACGGAGGGAGTAAAAAAGAACAGCTATCCCCGGACAGAGCCCCAGATGTGCAGCTGAGATGTGACGTCACTCAAAACAATGCAAATTGCAGATTGAATAGAGCATGGTCGTGCATCTATGGAGAATTAGAGAACGTTCTATATTGGCTATGCTGCATTCTGATTGGTTGAGAAATTCGAATAGAGCACGGTCATGTTTGAATTGCATATGGACCACAGTACAGTATCATAAGATGCCTTTAAATGTGTCAATTGGTCATAAAATACAGTAAAACCTGTATATCTGAACACCTCTCTAGTCCAAACACCTCTCAATATGAACACATTTTATATTCTGCCATAGACTGTTGAAAAACCTTGAAATGTGAGCACCAACCAATCCAAACATTTTTATCTGGTTCCAGTGGCATTTACATTAGACAGTTTTCACCATATAACGTTCTTACCTTATTCTCCTCATAAGGCTCATGCTGAATAGCTACCCTGGGGCTTTCATGTTGCGCACCTGACCTGGGAGACAGGTTTGAGAGATCTAGCCCTGGGACAGAGGCAGGCTCCACATTACCCCCAGCTGCTCCTGCCCTTGGGCTGTACTTCGCTGAAAGGAGAAATGAATTGATGTTCATATACTACATATGGTATAAAACAATCTGCATGTCAAATTCCACTACATTTAAATTATATTTGTGTTAGACGTATGATTTTTTGAGAATTTAATAGAATTTTCAGAGCAAATGGCAATATTGTAGTGAGCAGTATTACCCTTAACATTTACAGAAAAACATTACATTAGTTCAGCTTTTTCTTTTTGTATATTCTAACACACCTTACCTCCTATAATGTGGCAGCTTATTCAGAATTTAGAAATACCATCTATTTTTAAAATATTATGAATAAGGAAACTTACCTTCATAGTCCTCTTGTAGTCTGGCAGTATCATGACCATGTGATCCAAGGTGTGCCAGGCGCTTCTCAAACTTTTCTTTCCTAGCTCTCTCAGTGGCCTCATCCATTGCCCTCTTCAAATCATCTACCCTCTTCTGCTGCTCCTCCTTATAGAGAAAATGAAATTTACAATGGCATTCCATGCAGTCATAAATATCAACTGTAATTTGTGTTTTATTCAATGATATTTGGTGGTTTGAATGGTTTTTCAACAGACAACACAGCCTGTGATTCGATGACGTCATTGTGTAATAATGGGTTCTTTATCCAAAGTACGAAATACAGGATATTTGCATCAGCTGAGTCAATTGCGATTTGAAAAATGTTTTATTAGTTTTGTCAAATATATATATTTTTAAAATCCAGTAAAAAAATTAAAATTAGACTTATTTACCAAAATACTTAATGTGTTATTTTTGACTAAATTGTCACCAATCATTATCTATTAGCATTTTAAAACCATGGTGAATTTATTTTTCTTATTGACCATTTGATTATATTGAAATAAATATGAGGCATAACATAACTATTAGTTTTGTGTTATTGCCATAGTGATTTGCAGCTTCATCTGCAAAGATCAATGAAACTCTAATTAGATCAAAAAAGATCAATTAAACTCTAATTAGAAATTATGATTGAATCTCATCAAATTGTCAACAAAATTATGAAGAATATCAAGTGTTAAATTAATATTTGTGTTTTGTATTCAATAGCAACAAGAAGCTATCACAATTATTACAATTCAGAGACATTTAACCATTTCCTTTAACAGTCTGATCAACTATAAATTGTTCATCATTTCACTAACAGATAAACCGCCCTTTGTGCTTTTATATTGTGTTTTTCTGAAACTTCTGGAGGGCTCTTTTCCTAAAAGGCCCAATTGTAAATGAATGTTAATCTCTTATTACATTCTACATTTTAGGATATTTCAAATGTGTATCTTCAGAAATAAAACAGAATACCCTGTTAATAAAACTAATTTATGTGCAATGCCTAACAACTAACTGATGGGGTATTTGAAAGATGAATCTTGTTTTCAAAATTGGGCAAGATCATAAATGAAAAGCCAGTTATGTAAGATAACTGATTAACAATCAGCCTCTAAACACTGTTTGCATTTTTTTGTTTTAATTATCACATCATGTAATAGACAAGGTATAAATGGAGAAACACTTCCTTCCCTGCTTATTTGGCCTGTTTATTGCTCTTATATAGACTCTCATATATCCGAACCTCATTGAAACAAAATGACATACACCAGACTTGCCAATCTCCATAAAAAATAACAAACTCCCATTCCGTTTTCTCCTGTAAAAACCCCTGTAAACTCCCGTACCATATTTCTACTAGAATCTCCCGTAATTAAATTTTATCTAAACTCGTTTTTTCCTTTGAAATCTCCCGTATTCTTGGTAAAACTCCCTTAAAATCTCTCGCTTGTTTGCTGTCGAAATCTACCGTATATTTAAATGAATTAGACAAATTTGTGACCTTGATTATTGGAATCGCACTTCCTTCTTTCAGTTTCAACTCTCAGTTTCGCGGCCAGGAAAATGTATAAATCTATTTGTGCATGCACAATGTAATTAAGAGAGCATGTGCTCATGATTGTTCATGTGATTATATGCTACAATTTGATTGGACATCATATACTATATGTATGTTTGTATTTTCACGCATATTTTCAGACAGGGGGAAGCACCCTAGAATGCACATAAAATGAACATTTTCTCGATAAATTCTCCATTATAGTTGAAGCCTCAAAAAGCCTCCAAAGGGGGGGGGGGCTGAGTGGGAACAAAGTAATCAAAACAACTAGACTATAATGTCTTAAATGCATTTTACAATTTCAAATATTTGTTGCAATATTCTTAAAAATAAATCCACAAATCAATGCCAAGCATGTTACAATGTATGTCGAATCAGGTTTGAATTTGAAAAAAGGTCAAGTCAAACATTTTCATTCTGGTGTTCTGAGGGAGTAAACAATGTTTTCTTTCAGTTTAGCATTGCAACATGTATTTATCATATACAGTAAAACCTGTCCGATGGAATACCTCTCTATAGGGAAAACCTATGAACAAGGAATGCTTTTCAAAAGAACCGAATATTTTTCCATTGACTTACATGTTAACGGACCCTCTCTGTAGGGAAAACCTGTGAACAGGGAACAAGGAACACTATTTTGGTGCAAATTATGAAAATTCACCTGTGAACAAGGAATATGGAATATTGGTGACACTGTATATTCCATTATTTTTCAGAGGTGTGAAAGTCTTAAGCCTATATCTGATTTTAAAAAGCTTGGATTAATATGATTGAGATTAAGATAAGCCAATTGTTTACAAGATGTAGCATCCCACCCACTGTTAATTAACCTGATATATTTTAAAACTTATACTAATCTGTTTGTTACTAATTATCATGACACTAATTCTTCCTTTCAACAAACATTATTACATCAAATCAGTTGTGATAATCTAGGGATTGACACAATTGTTTTATGGAGATAACAGATAAGTACATGTGTCATGTTGAGCTAAATCTATCAACAATTACAACAACTAGACATCATCATACGCCAGCAGCAGTGGCTAAAATCAACATCGGGAGAATGCTCCTTACAATCAGCTAAAGGAGGGAGGTGGGAGACCTTCATACATCTTCCAAGATGTAACAACAAGGTCTAGCAACCAAGTATGGAGTCGGCATTGGTAAAATCAATAAATGCCCAAATATATACAAAAAATGCTTATTCGGCAATTCTGAGATTGCTGAAAGTGCGGCCCCTCTCTATAGGGAAAACCTCTGAACAAGGAAACTTTCCTCCAGTCCGAAGAGCATTCCCTGTTCGCAGGTTTTACTGTATATGCAAGACTACAAGTGTATATCATACCTGTTTTTGCTTCTGCTTTTCCTGTTCAAGTTCCAGTTGTTTCTGAACATTTTCTCGCTGTTGTTGAAACTTCGCCTCTTCCGCCAATTCTTCAGCAATTTTTCGCTCCCTCTCCACACGTTTCTTTCGCTGATGTTCTTCAACTTGCTCCTGTATTGCTTTCTGCAATAGCAAAGAATTCATAGCCTCAATTTTACAGACTAGTGCCAAGATCTGATTAGGTTTTGGGCATGCTGGGTAAATTACAAAGTGGCCATTTTGAATTTTTTCGATAAAACAGTGTGAATTTATCACTGCTTTTTGTATGAATATTCAAGTGGGACAAATCTACATTTTAAAAGGTTTCCATAACTGTTGATAATTTGATAATAATTTGATTTGATTCCAAGCAGATGATAAACATACATGTATGCAACTTATTCTTGAACTTGTATATCTCACTTGGCCCTTGTGCTTTCTGGTTTTCATATAATTAAGTAAATGTATCTAGCTCGTGCATTATACCTGATGCTCTAAGGCTCGACGACGTTTTTCTGACAGTTCATTCATCGTAACGGGGTCAATAAGAGTATTCTGACCCCTCAGTAGAGAAGCTCTACAATAAATTAAAGTGCATGTATTATAACAATTTTCACAATATAGAATTGAATCTTGGTGAGATTGAAGAGGGTGACTGTTAAAAGATAGTTTGTATATAAGTAGGTAGGGAGAGGAAGTGTTTAAGTATATGTGTTTGGCTTTATTAGTTAGTGTTTTAGGATTTTAATATCAAATTATAATATTGCTTTACTTCCATTCTTGAAATGGAACAGAATTTTAAAAATTCCACCCCTTTGTAAAAAGGCCTGATTCAGAGAGAGCATCACTTCACAGAATGTGAAAATATATCAGATGATACCATATATCAAGGGTCGATTTAAGAACAATTTTTATAATCCTTAATGAGGAATTTTCGTAATCTTTATGAGCAATTTTCATAATCTTTGAGAGCAATTTTCATAATCCATAGGAGCAATTTTCATAATCCATAGGAGCAATTTTTATAATCCTTAATGAGCAATTTTCGTAATCTTTATGAGCAATTTTCATAATCTTTGAGAGCAATTTTCATAATCCATAGGAGCAATTTTCATAATCCATAAGAGCAATTTTTATAATTCTTAAGAGCAATTACACTTCTCTTACCCTCCTGAAGAGCTTAACTCCCCATTGGGTGCAGGGTTGTTAACATTACTAGGGGCACTATTCACTCTTGGAGAAGCCACTGCACCTTGAAGACCAGGGATATTCACTCCAGGAGTATTGCTCACAGGATTTTGTGTCCTTGGGGTCCCTCCTGGCTGGCTCATTTTATCTGCCCATGTTTCAGCCTGAACTGTTTTGGATTTCTCAGCTTCCTTTCTCATGCGATTTTCCTCCTTTTGTTTTTCTGTGAAATGAAATGAAGCACAAGTGATAGATATTTTTGTAACATTCATATTTTTATCAAAACGTTTAGATTTTATGGGAAGCGAAGGGGTTGACCTAATAAATAATGTTGCATCTGTTTGGGTATGAAACCAAATATGCAAGTCAGTAATTTTATTGTAATTGAACAATTTTATTTGATTTACCTAATTCTTCAAGCCAGCGTTTTTTCTCCTCTGCTTTAGAGTCAGAAAATTTCCCATCCGTTGCTACCTAGTAAAAAATAAATAAAAATGTATTTTAGAGTGAGTGAAATGCAAAAATTAGTTCACCATTACAAGATTATTGTGTGTTCAAAGCCCTATTGATTGCAAATGTATTATCAGAATTAGAACATTTGTACTAGCCTTCTCAAAAGGCATGCTGCATTTTGAAAAAATCATTAAGTTTTAGCACTGCTACAAAAGTGGACTATGACCCCTGTTACACAGGCCAGTTGAAATGCTTCGTTACGAAGCAATTTGACAAAAAGCTTCGTAACGAAGCAATTTTGGGCCTGTGTAACACCTCCGCCTTTGTTGGAAAAGCTTAGTTGATAACGAAGCAAATGAGTAGAAAATCCAACGAAGGTTAGCTCCCAACGAAGCTTTTTTGGCCTGTGTAACAGGTAGCTTCGTTAGAAAATGCTTAGTTGGCGGTTTGCGCATGCGCGTAATAAAGAGCACATTCATCATTTTGTATTAAACGAGAGGAATCGCGAGGAAAGAACATGTTTTTAAGTACGTATTATTATAATGCTACGTTTTGAATAAAATAATTACCTATTTGCGTCACTGATTGACGCTAACTCAACCCCTAAACGCAGGCCTGTCAACTGTCCCGCAATTTGCGTATTTGTCACGCATTTGCTGAAGAATTTGAAGTCACGCCAGTTTTTTTTGCGTGACAGAAAATGTCACGCAAAATACGCATTTTACCTGGTAATTGTCACGCAAAAGTATTTCTGTAGGAATTTTTTCGAAATATGTTTACGATACGGTAAAAATACGAACGCCGGAAAAAACCGAACGCAATTTGTTCGGATTTGTCACGCGAATCCCGTATGTGTCACGCATGTTCATCGGAAATTTTTCGTACCTACCCCCCCCCCCCCCCCCCCCCCCCCCCGTTGACGACATCGCGAGCGTAGCTAGCGCGAAAAATTTGAGGTGTTCAAAGTTTGGCAAAGGTGCTCAAACGGCTTTAGCCAAAGGTGTTTAAAAGTTGGCTAAAGGTGTTCAAAATTTGGACAAAAGTGTTCAGATTTGGACTTAGGTGTCCAACATTTTGAAGTCACTCATATTAGGTGGTCCCAAGTTGACAGCCCTGTAAACGCCACGTACAAATGTGATTTACCGTCTTTCGTAGCATTTCATTCGCTTCCCTGCCTTTGCTCGCATTGATATGACAAAAAGTATTAAATCTAAAAAACACAGGTTTTACCGTATATGTATACAGTAGTTTTGAAACGTTTATCTGATCTATTAGAGAATAAACTGATTTAAATGTCCCTCTCCTTTCGGAGAACTCCGTCTCATGTGTGGAAGGGTAAACTTATGAAATTACATAAGATATGCTTACTAAATAGAAAGTTGTGGCATACATGTTTAATATTAATTTTTTCTTGCGCCTCGAATAATTATACCTTGAATGTAATTCTAAAGGTGTTAATACCATGATACTGATACAAGTGCTTCCCGGTGAATCACATCAGGGAATATAGCCGATTCGATTGATTCGAAAATGTCTCTCTTCAAAAATCGTATTCAACTGGCTATCGCCCCATTGCAATACATGTACTTGTACTAGTCGTTCCATTATTTTATTCTTCGACGATTTTAAATTGTAATTGAATTTAAACTCCATGTTTAAATATATTGAATTAATTACGTTTCAAAACTTCCGTATACAAATACGGTAAAACCTGCGGACAAGGAACGGTGGCCAAAATTGTTTCTTGTCGACAGATATTTGCCACAGAGAGGCTGCATGTCGTAGGCCAGCCCCAAACACTATTGATGTGTCGTAAGACGATGCTTACAACTGATATTCAAGTTTCTTCCTATTTGCGCCATTTTCGAATTCAGCGGACGGCTGGTGGATTAACATACTAATTCATGTCAAACTCACTCAAATATGCATGGAGTATTGGCGAGACGGGTAATAATCATATTAAAATGAATTGGTCATGAAATAGTAGTTACACGCGGTCCGAACTTCGACCGTTAATTTGACTTTTTGACCTACCGGATGTTTGAAAATCAAGGATTACGAGTCTCATACTGCACCGTTTTCTTCAAACTTGTTCCATTCAAAGCATAACAAATATCCCTTTCTGATGGTACATTATTCTCTTAAACAGAGTCCGAACTTCCAGCGGCATTTTGGTCCTTAGCTGTAAGAAGGCCTTCTAACAGCTTGGGACCAAAACGCTGCTAGAACGAGGGACTCTTTACCATAAAGTAATGCACCGACAGAAAGGCATTTTTGTTTTATTTTTAATGGTATAGGTTTGAAGTAAAACGGTGCAGTATGAGACAATCGCAATCCTTGATTTTCAAGCATCTGGTAGGTCGAACATTCAAATTAACGATCGAAGTTAGGACCGCGTGAGTTAAACCACCAGCCGAACACCGAGATATTTTAGTAATGGCTACACTATTTGAAATATAGCTGAGAAGTCCATTTGGAAATTGAACGTTTTTATACGATTTTACATACTAGTCGTCTGTATAAACCCAAAATCCAATTCCTCCTAGTAATTAACATAGGCCTATTTTTATTCCATATGTTTTCCAAAGGAAATGATAGAAAATGAAAACAATACTTGTAATCGTATTGACAGCTGAAATATATAAAAATCGAAATGATAGGAAAAATGTATGGACATGTGTATGGAATTATCACATTCATCTTGTTTTATTTTCCCGAGAATTTTGAACTAGTCTTTTTCTGTGCTGATTTGTTAAAATAAACATTAAAAATTAGATTTTTGAGTTTGATCAATGGTTTATATCAAAAGAATAAAAATATTAATCATAATAAGTAGGTGGGGCAGATGAGTAATGCGCACGCGCAACGAAGCATTTTAAGTGCAGTGTAACACCAAATAATTGCTTCGTTAGGGTTGAATAAAGCCAGTGTGGACACAATTTTTTCGCTAACCTTCGTTACAAAAATGCTTCGTTAGACTCAACCCAGCAGTGTAACAGGTACCATTGTTATAAAATACTAAGTACTCACCCCAAATGCAAATGAACTTCTCATTGCTGGATGGACAGTGCTGGGATCAGGTGCAAAATTTGGTTGTTGTCTTTGTTGTTCTTGTTGATGTTGTGTTTGTTGTTGTTGTTGCAGCTGGTCATACGCTTTCTGCTTCCTCTCCTTCTCATCAAGAGAATTCTGAACAGATTGATTCTGTAACCAAGAAAAATAAATTGCAACTTTGAAACTGATCCCAAAAAGTAAACTTTAATGCAAATCATTAGATCCTTTCACATTTTAATTTCATCAATACCAAACAGAACACTGCTAGCTATGGCTTACCTTACGGCTGTTAAAATCCGTCAAGACAGTGCCTGAGTTTGACCTCATCGGAGCCCCTGCACCAGGCCGACCAAATGGATTCCAAGTATCTAATAAACGCTGCTGCTCTTGCTCTAAAAGTTCATTGAAACTTGTGCATTATCAACAGGTTTGGTTCAGTGAGACTTGTAATTGTCGATTGGACATTTGACACGAATGGGAAATATTTCTGTTTTGACAAAAACTTATGTATTTTTGCTAAAGAATGAATTCGAAATAATATTGAGGTATGTTGTTTAATCTATTTCAATCTAAAACATGTACACTTTCTCAGATATTGCAGTACATATATTGTATTACATGTACATGCCATAATCTTGCACAAAGTCGTTTGTATAAACCCAAAGGTTCATCTCTTAACATCTACTTTGGTTAGAAATGCATAGGGAGAGGCAGAGACTTTTTGCAAAACTATTAATGGTAGAACAGGCTAGTAGTTTCATTCCCTTTGAAAACTCTAACAAGAAATATTTGGAGTAGAATATCTTACGTTTTCTCTCAGCCTCCCATTGTAGTTTCTTCTTCTCTGCTATACTCAGTTGAGGCTGAGGGACAAATTCTCCAGGGGGGACTGGCATTACTGGGGACTTTACAGGCTGTGGATTGTTCCCCATTTGGTCATTGATAGATCTCTGGCCAGAAGCCACATTCTGCTGTTGGGGAGATGATTGGTTCACACCTGATGCTTGTTCACCTGAAGGTAGGAAAATTTTATGCTTGAAGATTAAGAGATGGATGAACATGTACATGATGTATAAAAATTAAAAAAGAAAATTAACTCAATGATAAACTTAATGGATAGCTTAAATAACAATCACCAATTAATTATAACATTGATACTATGTATAAAAGTAAAACGGAATCTAACAGTAGTTTTCATAATGTATTTCTTACCTCGTTCTCGGGCCCATTGTAATCTCTTTCTCTCTCCAATGGTCATATGTTTCCATGAAACAGAAGGTGCTCTTGGAGACTCCTTTGGACCTTCAATATGTGATGCTCCTGATGCACCTCCTTCATTTTCCCGTTCTTTTGGCTTACCATCCTCCTGCTTAACATCTCCCTGTTCTTCAGACTGACCGAGTTGTTGCAGTACAAAGTCAGAAACTGTACCTTGCCTACAAGAATATATGTTTATACCAATTAAAACATTTACATTGACATGTGATATAGAAATTTTGCAACAAAGAAGGTGGAGGGCAAAAGAGGTAATTTTGAGTTTAACTATGACTTACCTCCTCATCTATGTAAATTCAGAAAAGGTTTTTATAAATATGTGCCATATCACCAAATCTTTGATTTTGGCATGCCTTATTGAACAAGCCAAGCTAATTTACTGCACAATGCATTTGGGTTAGGAATAAACAATGTACCACTTTCTGCTGCTACCGCACATTCCTAACTTACTTGTTATCATAATTTGCTTGTTTCCCCGTATCACTATGGTTACTATCTACCATGTTGAAGATACTCTCTTCCCTAGGCGTACCACTGTCAACCTTCGCAGGTTCAGCTGATTTTTCATCTTGGAAATGGACTTCCTTTTTCTCTACACGGACCTCATTAGTGTTCTTGTCTACATGAGTAGGAGAAAGTGTTATAACATTTTGTTACCATGGCAACTGAGAATCATACAACAAACTACTTGAAACATTAAGATATACAGCAGATATGAAATGGTATTGTTGACCTAAAGGAATCAATAGAATTTTTTGATAAATGTATTTGGACATGTTTTCTCATCAGTATTGTGAAAATTATTTCACTCTAACGATTGTTTTAGCTGCTTAATAAGCAGTATTTGAATAGGTTGTGACGTTATTTGCCCCCACGTGATCTCTCACTGGTCCCCACGTGGCCCGTTTTGGTCCATTAAATCATGACGTCATAATGCCAAGATGTTTTGTTATTTGTTTACACAACAATCATATGGTTGCCGTGACGTTGTGATTACCAAGGCACCAATGAACCAAAATTATATATTATGTATGACTTTACTAATCATGTGGGGGCCAATCTGATTGATCAGTTAATTTTATTACGTTATTTATGACCATTAACAGTTATCTAACATTTCTTTTATAATGGCTATCACAAGAGCTCTACGTTGGGCTTACAATGAAGAAAACCACATCTCTGTAGCTGCAAGTTGAGAAAACTTATTACAGTTGTCCTTTAATACTGTCCACCAAAGTTCTGAGTAAGATAGACATTTATTAAAAAGAGTTCACTACATCATGGGCTTTCAAGAGACTCCATAAAACCTATGAATGAGGGGGATAAAGGTTTTACAAAGCCACACTCACCCACACTGACTTGAACAGGCTGTGATCCTTGGGTCTGACCCAGAGATGACAAAATTGCATTTAGTTGCTCCTGGGTAAGAGTAACAGTTCCCGGAGCCACTCCATTTACAGTCTCTTTAACTCTCCTTCGCTGGCTCGGGTTTGTCCCTTTAGGCTCATTCCCCTTGTTTTTGGGCTTTTTTGTCTCATCTGCAACTTTTTTATTTGTAGCTTGCTTTTCTGCTTTCTGATCTTTAGCAGGGTCAGTATTCTCTGGCTCTTTTTCTATGTTCCTTAAAGAGTGTCTCAGACCTTTGTCTTTATAGCCAAACTTTCTTTTATCTTTCTTCTTCTTTTCTGAAACAAACATGCAATTTTTGTTTGGTCAATCTTAGCATACCATTAAGTATTACATTATTTTAATCAACTCTCTAAACTGAAATATTCAAATAGGTTATACAAAGTCTGTTAAAAAAAGAAGAAAATTTGTTTACCTTCTCCAAAATATATTGCTGGTTTTCCATCCTTAGTAGTACTTGTATCAAATCTCACTGAACCTCTACAATTATACAAAAATAAATTGAGTAATATTAAAGGTGCATAGGGGCCATTCAACATGCATGGACCAGTGTCAAAATATATTTAAATTTGGATATTTCATGAAGACTTACATCTATTTTTATAATCTACAAAGAAACCCCTAGATAAACATTATTTCAGCTGATATTCCTCTTGAAACATGGTGGATCTTAAAAATATAAAAGTGTATTTCCCCTTTTTGAAGCTTTGAACTGAATTTACACTTCTTAATGCTGAAATTGATCTTTTATCCATACATTTTAAGAAAATAGGTATGTCAAAGAAGATGGTAAGCCAAATGTTGCCTTGATAGTTCAGAAAAAGTTAAAATTTTCCTATTTTCTCTCTACAGGCCTTGTTGCCCCTTTAAGGGATTGATCATGATTATGATCATAGGTATTGCAGTATGTCAATAATCTGCAAAAGGCTAATAAGCCCATTAGAATCAGATATATATAATCTAACAGTGATAGAATCAATCTCCTAGCATTTCTTTCAGATCAATCATTCCTCAACCCTTCTCTCATGCAGATCTTTAAATTGGGAGAAAATGTGACCTACTTTCAAAAATACACGTTTTCGTGTCTCTTACATGATAATTACATGACTTCTTACTAGTTATATATAAGCCTAGGGATTTTTCAGTGAAAAGGTGATCCAATTATTGGTCACTTAGTCTACTTATTGCAAAGTCAGCAAAGTCGAGTTATTAGCATAAATGTCACAGTTTGAAGGATTAATGGAAATATAAACACTTCAGGTAAATATTGTGACAAAGAGCTTTCAGACTCTTATATTACTTAAACATTATTCACATGATGTCCGACAGGCGAAAAATCCATTTTTAGAAAAAGTTCAAATGCCTGAATCGAATCATTTGGTCTACTTACTCATATTTACATGACTTATTTGTTGAAGTCAAATGTGTGCATATTCGCCTAGTCAGTAGGCAGATTCTGGAAATTGGATCCAAATACAGTAAGAAACTATAAGTCATTTTCTTCAGAAATGTTCCTCTCGACTTCTGTTTGAGTGACATCAGAGTAACTAGAAATCTCAAAATCTGGATGAGTTCATTTGGCAGGAGTTAGAAATATTCAGCTTTGTAATCATCTCCTTCTCAAGTGCCCGGTGGAGACAAACAACTAAGTCCGAGAACTTCTTCTTTTCCACATAAAGTGAGGAACTGTGCCTATAACTCGCCATTGCAAAGAAAGATGGCAGCGTTTGATATATACATACCTTGTCCCCTACGTTTCGACGAGTCCATTTTCGATGACGTCATTTTCTTAGAATCTCTTCCATGATGTTGGAATTTGAGACGAAATACGAGGAGAAATGATTTGCGTGATATCAGAAAATCGGATTTCTTTTCAGTTCCCTGTGATCAACTGACGAAAGGTAGGAGGTGTAGATAAGTCATTGGCCAAATTTATTATACATGGGGGAAAAACTTAAGAATACGACCGAATGAGAGAATAAATTGATTTTTCCACTGTCGGACATCATGTGAATAATGTTTTAAAGGTAGAGTATACCATTGATAGTGCTGACTGTGACTTATTCAATAATAAGTTATTGGGCCAATATTTTAAGGTATGAGTACCATAATCCAACACCAAATTCGAAAATTCAGAACAATACTTTGCACATATGGCATTCGTGATCAACTATAAAACGCTTACCCCCCCATAGTGTTATATATCAAAATGTACCTGTTCATATTGGGGTTCGATTGATCTACATCAAATTATAGGAAATCAGGTTACTTTTTGAGATATCATGCAGCGTCCATTTATTGTGACTCGCGTTTGCTACCATTTCCTCAATTCTAATATGATGGGCAATTGCGTAGTAAACATGATGATAACAGGGCCTGACAGTCGCCCCAGGGTATTTCAACATAAAGGGACTTCCTAGGGGGTATAGGGGCCAACTATTGCGGTTGTCTTGTGTTTGCATTTGGGTTGATTGTAAGGATCACATATATGGGCATGTGAAAGATCAATTAGATTGGCAAAATGGTAATATTATTAATAATAATAACTTTGTCCGTATTTTGGTGGGCGATAATCAAGTGAATATTTTTTTAATAAAATCTGTCATTTTTTGTACTTTGCAAAACCAGCAAATGACGTATATTTACAACGTCATTCTGGATTCTTCGTAACACTTATAACTATGAGAAACTCAAACTTACCCAAAACTCATGTCTTATTAGCTAACTTATCCAATTTCAGGCATTTTATGTGTTCATTTTTGAAATTTTTAAAATCGTCGTCAAGCAAGAGCTTTGAATTTTTGTCGTTAGATGGCGTACTCTACAAACGAAATTACTCAATTTGATTGGCATTATTTGATCAAATCATATCCTATACAATTTAATCAAAATTTCCTAAATTAATAGCAAGTTAGATTGCTGTTGATTTTACAAGTAAAAATAAAAATAGGCGCTTTTTCGCTTTTTAACATGTTGACATTTAGACATCACTTCCTGTTTATATGCACGTGAAATTTTTTTCAGGAGTATTCAGGCCTCATACACGATTTCAGATCGTGAGGACAACTGTAAGTATTATAACACTTAAATGCAGATTCAGACAAGATTATTGTAATAGTATAAGTACTTTACAATAATTCTTCTAGACACAAAAGTGCAATAAAGTTCAATTCAAAACTGCATGATTTTGATTTTGAAAGAAATTTTGGCCGGGGGGATGGGGGGGGGGGGGTTCGCCCGACCCACTGACCGCCTACCCCCTGGCTACTGGCCTGAATATGTCTGTAATGCACAGGCCCAGGACTATTTAAATCCCCCCCCCTACCTAATACATAGGTCAATAACGGTGTTCTTTATTATTAGGAATTTTCTTGGGGCCATTATTGAGTTAAGGTTCAGCTGGAAAGTGACATTTTGGTAAAAAATTGCTATACCTGCACATGTTATTTTCCGGTACAGAATTAAGTATGAAGTCATGTGTGTATTTCCTTGCTTTTTTCAGGAAAGTATCATTACACTGTTTACTTTTATAATATCTGGAAACAGGTCAATGGTAGCTCCTGTGTTGTCTGGAAATTTTGAAAGAAAATTTGGAAAAATAGAAAGTGTGAAATATCAGAATTTCCTGGAGTTTCCATTGAACCCCTACCAGATATTCTAAAAGAAGACAATGTAATGATACTTTCCTGAAAAAAGCAAGGAAATTGACACATGCCTTCATACTTTATTTTGTACCAGAAAATAACATGTGCAGGTATAGCAATTTTTTACCAAAATGTTACTTTCCAGCTGTACCTTAAGGTTCAGCTGGAAAGTAATATTTTGGTAAAAAATTGCTATACCTGCACATGTTATTTTCTGGTACAGAATTAAGTATGAAGTCATGTGTATATTTCCTTGCTTTTTTCAGGAAAGTATCATTATTTGTTGTTGTTGTGTTGCATAAGCCGCTTTTTCCTCGGCAGTTAGTCTCTTGTGCTTTTTGTATATTCACTATGTACTTTCTCTTGTACTTTATTCACTTGTTGCGCAGATTTTCAAAGTGTCATTCATTATTCATATTTACATTCATATTATTTATTTATTTCTCTCTCTCTCAGCAGTCATTATCTGTACTTATATTTAACAGTCTCTGTCTGTTTCTTGGTTTGTTTAATGTTAGATTCTTTTAGTTGTCTTTAGATATGTCATTAAGAAATGTCTCATATCTCTGTTCTGTGCTTCATTAAGTGCTTTATGAAAGCCTGTCAAAATCTTTAAGTCTATATTTGGCTTGGGTCCTTCAATCCCTAGTAATTTCACTTCAGCCTTATGTAGCATGAGTTCACGTTCATCATAGAACTTCTTACAATTGAAAATGTAGTGGTGAACTGTCTCTGCACATTTGCAGTGCTCGCATTGGTTTGAGATGTCTGTCTGTATCTTAGACAAATGATCGTTTAGCTTGGAGTGTCCAGTAATCAGTTGATTTATCTTACAAAAGTAAGACCGATTTTGTTCATTCAGATTATTTTGGACTCCTACAGTTTCAATAATTTCTTGTATGTGTTTGACTTTTGTTGAGTTATCATATAGAGTCTGCCACTTGCTTAGGGCAGTTTTCTTTATAGATCTATATACTTCCTCTTTGCTTTGTTTAACAGAGGATGGGGGCAGTGTCGCTGCTTCCGCTGCTGCTTCCTTGGCATATGTATCGGCTAATTCATTGCCGTTAATTCCTAAGTGGCTTGGGACCCAGTAGTAGGTTAAAACATTGCCGCCCTCGCTCAATCTGTAAACCAAAAACCTGGAATTTTCAATGCATTTAATTTCAGACCTTGGTTTATTGCTACTGAAAGTGCTAAGAAGGGCTGGTTGACAGTCACCAAAGATGTGAATATCGTGGTTGTTAATAGATATAGAGTGCAGGAATTCTAGAGCAAGGTGCAAAGCCTGTATTTCCCCACAATAATTATTGCTTCTGACACTGATTGCTTTTTTCAAGCACACAGGTTCAGATTTGGTCCCGGCAAGAAATATAATCGCGCTTGACCCTGTTGGTCCTGGATTTGATAGAGTGGACCCGTCAGTGAATACAATCACAGATTTATTGCTCAGATTGTTGATTTTATCTTTGATGATTTTACACTGCTCAGTTTTACTCACCCCCGTTGTTTTGCTACCTTCGAAAATGTTAAGCAGGTAGGGTGGAAATTCTAGACTTGTTTTGTATTCTTTTTCAACTTCTGCATTCTTGCCTGTGCTGTTAAACTCTCTTATTCTTGAGTTTAAAATGCTGAAAGTTGATGGTTTTCTTTCTATATAGGTACTGATACTTGACAATAATATAAAAACACATAACATCAAGCGATTTAACACAATATTATTGTGTTAAGGTCAGGGTGCATGATGGGAAATTTTCTGCATTCCTCAATTGAGTCACATGTTATTTTTCAAACAAGAATCACTCCTTCCCCATAGTGTCTATATCTTCCAGTTTTGCACAAAGAGTGCTCTTATGTGCCTAGAAAAGACTTGTGAGAAGAATGTTTTGATAAAGTGTATAAAAAACAAGAAAATTCAATGAAAAGATTCAGAAAAATTTCAGAAATTTTTTTCACTGAATTTTTTCATTTTTTATACATTTTACAAATCAAATCTTCTCACAAGGCTTTTCTAGGCACATAAGTGCACTCTTTGTGCAAACCTGGAAGATGTAGACAATGTGGGGAAGGAGTTATTCTTCTTTGAAAAATAACATGTGACTCAATTGAGGAATGCAGAAAATTTCCCAACATGCACCCTGTCCTCAAATGTTCATTTATACGAGTAAAATGAGGCTACACTTACCAATCTCTAAAGTGACATTTCCGCATGTCTACATGTCCGTCATTGTGTCTGTTCGTCTGAGTGTCCCGGATCGTAAAATTAAACTACCAGCGAAACGAAATTGTTGTCAAATAGATTGATAATTATTATCGCGATTACTCGGGATAAAAAGATCAATTTTGAGGATAACAGGTATCTTTGATTAATTTATATAGCGCGTATATACACGCAAAATAGTTATTAATTGCAAACCAACTGTTCGTTAATGCAGTGCCGTGATGACGGTTAATTATGCATCAATAGGGTCTAAGGGGGATACGGGACGGGGTGTATGTGTTTATAAGGTATGTATGCATGCTTGAATCACATTCTTTGTGTAATATTGCCATGTTTTCAGGGTTCAATTAGTTCCGCTTGTCGAAACCTGCTGAACGATTAAATAATCGCACCAAAGGCAAAATGGTCATGGAGGTTAGACCTAGCCGGGCCATAACACATGTCAGATAAGAAACGAGGCCCCGGCTAGGTCTAATGTTGTTGGACTAGAGGGGGATGAACTCTTGTTCCCGTGTCTGTGCTGTAATGGCATCAGATAGTAAATAAAGGATATATTGGGGTTTTGCTTTACAGGCTGGAAGTTGCTGCCCTGTCAACCCTCACGCATTAGGCGTGGTTGTAAGGCGTGATTGTCACGCATTTGCTGGAAAAATCAATTTTCAACCATCTTGCATGTTTGATAAAATCATGGGCTTTCAACTAGAAGGGTAGGCAACTTCCCATATTTCATACATAAGCATTGCCTTTTGGGTTTTCAGAATTTCTAATTGAAAGCCCATGATAAAATGTCACTCAAATTACGCGTTATGATGATATTTAAAAAAAAATGCTTTTCATAAAGCGCCAATACCATGGGCTTTCAATAAGAAGGGTATGCAACTCTGTGTAATAACATGAGACCTTCGAAATAAGCAATGCCATGCATCCCTTTCATGGTAATATTTCAAAAAATATTAGATAAATGTATCACGCGGTAGTATCTCTTCGGGACGTATCGAAACCACTCCGTCCTGAAAAACCGTTAATTTGAATTTAATACCTACCCCAGTGTTTGAAAATCAAGGATTGTGAGTCTCACACTTCACCGTTTTTCTTCAAACGTGTTCCGTACAAAGCTTCACAGAAATACCTTTCAGTCGATACATTGTTTTCATGTACAAAGTACCTCATTTTAGCGGCGTTTTGGTCCCCAGCTGTGAGATAAAGCAAATTTTCATAACTTTCAACTTTAAGTCAAGTTATCTCGCCAGTCTTTTACCCATTCTCGCCCATAATTTCAGAATGGACTCCCATTACAACCTTCCATCGCTACGTCTTGATTTTTCGGCATCAAACGCAGCAGTTTCTAAATCATCCACACATCTCTTCAAATTTGACCAATACGTCCCGTCATCTTCCACTACGCCCCGCCGAGTCTATCACTATACACGTAGAGTTGCATTCTAAAACAATTTGTCCATCGATGTGACCGTTTGTAGGTTACCATTGTCGATTCTAAATACCAATCGGATTGTGTTTTAAGATTTACCCATTCTTGTCCATTTTCAATATACCTATAATAGGGTGGTCCAAAATCTCCCTAAAATTTAGATTTCCCGATATTGCAATATAAAGATTTTAATTACTGAACAATTGAAAATATATTTAAGAAACGTTTAAAGTGCCCTATCCTTGAAAAAATGTTAAAATGCGAAAGGATGGGTGATGTCAATTATATTATTTTCAGCATAATGTTAGAAACATGTATCATTTTATATGGTACACGTTTCATAATGTAATTTAATGGAATCATACAGAAGAAAGGTTGACACACAACAGTTAAAATCTTTATATTACATTATCAGACCAAGTCAGTAGATGTTTATATACCAATTAGTGTTGTATGATGATGCATTCTTTATATGAATCTAGAAACGTTTTTGTGCCAATATTGCTCAATTTTGATAACATCTCCATTATTTTGAAATTAAGCGTGGCAAAGTTTCCCGATGGATTTAGCTAAAAAAGTGGTGCCTGTAGGGTTATTGAAAATCATACATGATGAAGAAAAAATACATATTCCTGGAATACAACAGTTTAATTTTGAGTTATAAACCATTTATGAAAACGGCATATTTGTCAAAATTAACAAAACTTCAAGTAAGACGCGTGGCAAAATTTCCCAGGGGTCTAGAGTGGAAATATTTGTACCAAGAGTCAATTTGTAACTAGAATCTATCAGATGACAGATTTTTGGAAAATTTTGCAGATTTGGACATCCCTAACCTATAACTTTGTTGAACCTAAAGGAACGTATCAACTTTTTGTTAAATAAAGATAGCAAATTCAGCTGTCTACTGTACCTAACTTGTACTTTTTGCTAGTACTCAGATTGATGGATGATTATTTATGATGAACATTAGCAAAACAAGATTCCAGATTTTATTGTGTTTCAAACCAGACACTTGGTTTCCTCACAAAATCAAATACAGGACAATTACATATAATTAAAGTTAAAAAGCAACATCTTCACAAACATTTAATTATCAATTTCATGCAATCAGTTATAGTTATACTCCTTATGTATGCTAAACTTAAGACTGGTGTTAAGAATCGACCAAGGCAAACCTATGTAAAATTACACAACGATGAACAAAATGTTTTAGAATACAACTCCACGTTTGTAGTCATAGACTCGGCGGGGCGTAGTGGAAGGTGACGGGACGTATTAGTCAAATTTTAAGAGATATGTGTGGATGATTTAGAAACTGCTGCGTTTGATGCCGAAAAAATCAAAACGTAGCGATGGAAGGTTGTAATGGGAGTCCATTCTGAAATTATGGGCGAGAATGGGTAAAAGACTGGCGAGATAACTTGACTTACAGTTAAAAGTTATGAAAATTTGCTTTATCTCACAGCTGGGGACCAAAACGCCGCTAAAACGAGGTACTTTGTACACGAAAACAATGTATCGACTGAAAGGTATTTCTGTGAAGCTTTGTACGGAACAAGTTTGAAGAAAAACGGTGAAGTGTGAGACTCACAATCCTTGATTTTCAAACACTGGGGTAGGTTTTAAATTCAAATTAACGGTTTTTCGGGACGGAGTGGTTTCGATACGTCCCGAAGAGATACTACCGCGTGTGTATATGTTTTAGTATTATTTTGAATAAAAATCAATTTTCAATATGATTAAAGCATAAAATATCATGTAAAAGTAAACAAAAAAGACCAATAAGAATAAGATCAAGATGTTCTCTTCGAGTATTGCATTGTGGGTAATTATTCAAGAACACATTCCAATAAAAATATAATTTGTGGGAGAATGTTCACTTTCTGTATTGTCATAATTACAATGAATTCCATTTTTTATTAAATTATCAACATGTATGTAGATAATCATGTTTTTATTTTTGAGTTATTTCTTTAAATCATCTATAAAAAGGACAAAATACAATTTTCTTGGAAAGTGTACATTCTCCAATTTTGAAAACCCAAAGGCAATGCTTATGTATGAAATATGGGAAGTTGCCTACCCTTCTAGTTGAAAGCCCATGCCAATACAAAAAAAAAGAACGCCGAAAAAAGCGAACGCATTCTGTTGAGACTTTTCACGCGAATTCTGTATATGCCGTGTTATCCCGTGCCAGGACTATAGTCCTGCGAACGTCTTATTTTTTTGCCTGTTTGATTACAACATGGGAGAATTTTCTACGCTTCTTACACTTAAAGGAATATTCCTTGCCAGACCCTTTCTCTCTTGATATGGTAGCTATAATCATATATATAGTTTCCATATTTAGCAAAACATGGGAAAATGTTTTAATATGGTCAATATTGATCGTTTAAAAATCTAGTGCTTATTTCCAGTGAGCTGCCATCTTTTAAGATTTATTGTAGGAAGTGATGTCATCAACTCTCAACTTCTATAACCTTACCCATAACAGTATAGGAAAGTAGCACAAAATCAATTCTAGACAAGTGATCATTACTTTCTGTGCAAAAATATTTTCAGGGCTTGTCAACTTAGAATAAAAGAAGAGATTTTCAGAAGGATTAAATAAGATACAAAGTTGAAAAAGAATATTTAGCTGGTTTTGTAATTCTTAATAGCTCCTCACCTAATGCTATATGCAAAGTTGAGAGTCGATGACATCACTTCCTGTGTGAAATTTTAAAAGATGGCAGCTTACTGCCGAATTGAGCATCACATTTCTGAGTGATCAAATTTGACCATATCAAAACATTTTTGCGTGTTTTGCTAAACATGGCAAGCATATATATGGTTATAGCTACCATATGGGGAGAGAGATGGTTTGGCAAGGAATATTCCTTTAAGATACCTATTTCAATATATTCCTTGGTATTTTTATGATTTTTCTTTTCGTGTAGTTGAATCCACAATTGTCTGGGTTTATCGGCAGAACAAAGAAATTTTCGTTTTTAATCACAATATTTGCGTGTAATATTTAACTTATTTCAACCGTCAAATTCCTCCATTTATTGGTGCTTCCGGGTCAGTCAAACGGGGAATCCCCTTTTAAATCCAACCGCCATCTTGGAAAGTGATGGAATATCTCTCGATGAAAAAGAAAAATGTTCCCGTTCTGCCGATTTACCCAGACAATTGTGGATTTAACTACACAAAAAGAATGCTAAAATACCCAGGAATCAATTGAAGTAGGTATCTTAAGTGTAAGGGTCGTAGATAATTCTCCCAAGTTGTAATCGTACAGGCAAAAGAATGCTCTCAATGCAGGACTATAGTCCTGGTACGGGATAAATGCCATGCATTTGGTTGGAAATATGTGTATATTTTAAACATTTGCTTTGAAATTTTTTGTAAGAAAATGTAAGAAAAAACATGGCTTTAGATCTGAAATTAGAGCAAATAAACAACAATGTATCGAAGATACCCCGAATTGGTTTCAACGTTATACCCCTTCACCTAGTATGTATCCAACAGACTGACTATAAGTTAGTCTGTTATGATGTACTTCTGTCCTGTGGAAATTGCAGTGAATTTTTTTGCACAAAATTATCAATTAAAGGAACCATTTCTTCAATAAAATAAACATTACAAAAATTCAATTGAGTAGTAAGGTACAATTAAATGCAATTTAAAGTAAGACAACATACTGCCAAGTGGAAATAAAGCTAGTTGAAGTAACAATTAAGCAAATTAATTCACTCCATTGGCCATTTTGAATTGCACTTCCTATGTAAACAAATATTTTGAATTACCAAATTTTAACATGGTTGCTTATAGTCTGAATATATTCAGACTAAATAGGATATAGTCTACCCCTTCACCCTACTAATGCAGCTATGGAAGAGTGGCTACTGCAAACTCAGAGACATTCCAACTTCCAGCCTGGAAAAGATTCCCCATCCCAATCATACCACACTCCTGGCTATTATTATCATCCCATCAAACGAAGTTCGGAGGGATATAGAGAACGCCTCCGTCCGTACGTACGTCCGTCCGTCCATCCGTACGTATGTCCGTCTGTCTATCCGTCCGTCCGTCCGGGCAATAACTAAAATACAGTTGGCCCGATTTTGTTCATATTTTGTACACATATACCCAATGGAGTTAGAAGTTCTGCTCGAAAACCGATTTTCAAAATGGCCCCTCATTTAAAAATGGCCATTTTAGTGCCGACTGCCGATTTTACAGTAATTTAGGTTCTGCATATGAAACTGTAATAGCAATATGTTTTAAATGTAAAAAAGTTATATAGGACATTGATTAAGCTAGAAATGCAATTATAGAAGAAATACATGGCAGCCATCTTGAAAAATGGCTGCCTTTGCACATCATTTTGCGATTTTTGCTGTAACTTGAAAAGTAGTGGAGCGATTTCGTTTATATTTTGTATGTGAATACTTGAAGCATGGCACAATGTCTCATGACATTTTGGGTAGCAGGCGGACATTTTGAAAATGGGCTCCGTACACTGACTTTTGCATGTGCTATTTTACATTTTTTACTATAACTCAAAAAGTAGTAGAGCGATTTTGTTCATATTTTATACAGTGCGTATAAAAAAAACGCAACAGATTGTTATCTCGGAAAAGCACAAAACCAGTGATAACAGCATTGATTTTGTTCAATGCACCATAAAGCCATGTGTCTCCTCTTTACAATGATATATCATTCATTGATATTTGGTCACGGTTGGCGGAGTTATCATTCCATTTGCAAAGTGGGCCAAAATTAGCTTGGGACCAAGTTATAAACATCGCAAAAGTCAGTGTACGGAGCCCAATGCAATATTGGAAGAAAACATAAAATCAATACTGACTGCATCCTTTTCATTCAATGTACCAAAAAGCCAAATTACTCCTCTTTGCAATGGAATATGATTCATTCACAGGGAGTCATGGCTGGCCGAATAATCATTAATTTTGCAAAGTGGGGCAAAATTCAGCTCGGACCCAACTTTTAAACATTGCAAAAGTCAGAACAATGGGGCATAGGGGCTATTGGAAGAAGGTGTGACAGGTGTGGCATAGACAGTAAAGTGTTCATACTCATACTCTTGCAAGAATACATCCTATACCCCTTCAAATTGCCACCACTTCCTTGCACATAAAGATGCGCTCATCTGTCCTGTCATGCATGGTTCAGCCCTGAGTCATCTGTGGGTTAAAGCAGAGAAAAGTAGCCCATGGGCAATCCTTTCTTGAGGTTTTGCAATATCTGGTGGAGGAATTAAATACCCTCTGCCTAGTTTTTAAGAAGCAAAGAATTAGTCACATTGATATATACCAGTCCTTTAACTTTTCAGAATAGCTGTATGTAGCAGGCAATATGTCCCATATGATGGACCCTCACCTCTGTCAGACTCCTAAATTTAAAACCATTAAGGAAGAATCAGAATTCTCTCTCTTTTCTCCATTGAACTCTGATAACAACAACAAAAAATCTAAAAAGAAAAAGAAGAAGAAGGATAAAAACCATGAGAAAAGCTCAAAAACAGAGGACGTGAATGGAGATGTACAAATTAAACAAGAAGAGGACAGTCATATGCATAAGGTAACAAATGAGAGTGTTGATGTGAAACAAGAGATTGTGGAATCAGGACAAAGAGAGAAAAAACATAAAAAGAAAAAACATAAAAAAGACAAAGAAGGAAAAGACACTAAACATGAGAAAGATGAGGATTTCAAGCCAAATGACATAAGGTATGAAAGTGAAAAAGGAAATGAAACTATAAATGTTAAAGAAGAAACCATTGAAGCTAAGAAAAAACATAAAAAGAAAAAGCACCAACATAAAGAGGAAAAACAAGAAAGGACTGTGCAGCAAGATATAGTTAGACATGTAAAGAAAAATCAGACCTTAATTACAGATTTATTCAATTCTAAAGTTCCAAAGATTGAAACAAGTAGTCCGTCAATTGACATGGACTTGGACCCATTTGACACAAAAGACATGAATGGAAATGATACTATGGCAATGGAAACAACAGCTACTGTTTCTAGGAAAAGGAAATTAAGTGACAGAGTAGATGAGCAAAATCATACTCCTAATAAAACAAGAAACAAGTTTAGTTATACCTGCACAGGAAACCAGGGGATAAGGTAACTATTCATATTTCTATTAATCTGATTGCTCTGATACTGATGTTTTGCTGCATTTCAAAACATTCCTTTGTCCAGTTGTACGTAGTTTCATATTCATAATTCAACACATAATGGTAAGCACCAAGCATTAATGCACCTTTCAGAGGATTTTGATAAAAATAAGAATTGGGGTGTCAATTTCCCTCCATTTTAGCACCGATAGGTCAAATACAGACATGATTCTTATGACTGGGAGTATGTTTTCTAAAACTTCCTACTTCTGGGATGAAGTACCATGTCAAAATGTTGGGGTCTCAAGAAAACCTTTGAAAGGTGTGCTGGAGTAGATTTGCTATAGGTAGATAACAACAAAAAAACACATGTTTTTCAGCATACTCTTAATTGATCTGTATTATTTGCTACTATTCCATTTCCACATAGAAATGCATCGATGACAATTCATTTGTAGATTTAAATTGGATGAGACCTTTGCAAGTTCTGGGGTACCAGTTGGAGGAAACACACTTTCACATGAGGACATTCAAGACAAAAATAAACAACTAGTACTCATCAAGATGCCTAAAGACGTGAGTACATTTCAAGTTAACCAAATACATGTATATTCATTAATTCTGTGTCCTCACAACATGTACTTACAACATGATCACCAATTTACATCTTTGTCATAACAATGTTCTTAGTTCAATTTTATTTAGTTTCAATGTTAATAACGGGATAATAAAAACATCATTTTTGATGAGAAAATGACCAATCTGAAATGATTTTCGGAAAATAACCCATCAGCAGTTTAAAATTGTTTATTATGTGTCACTGATGTTACAAATATACACATAACATATATAATTAAACAACACATATTTTTAATATCACCAGCCTTTTGCTACCCCCCCCCATGGATAGCTTGGGTCATTAAGAGAATGAATTATTAGTCAGATGTGGAAGAACAGATATGAAGGATTGTATCGACAAATCTCAAAATCTCCTCAAATCTTGCAAATTAATTAGTAGTTCATAAGAACATATTCTGCAAATAATAAATCCACAAAATTAAAACGTGCAAAGTTCACTTCATTGACAATTGATGAACTTCTATGATGGTGTGTTAGCGGCCACAGAGACTATTACATTTATAAAACTTACTTTAATCAGGATTATTCAAAGAGAACTTGAATTGAAATAATGTGAAATATATGTTTCAGTTTGATATCAAATCACTGGATGGTGAACAGCTGGACTTTTCCAGGAATGCACAATTGCAACATGCATTGTCTGAAAGGAAGGTGAGGAACTCTAACCCATCAGGGCTCATACATTGCAACAGTACAATTAACAATAATTTGTCTCGAAAAGTCAGGGAATTCCAAAAATTCTCCTAAAAACAAAAAAGCAAATTGTTAAACACTATTAAGGAAAGAGGGAGTTTTACCAAAAGTTGTGTTTTTTAAATGTCAATATTTTAACATAAAATTCTTATGTGAAATTAAGTAGATCTGAAATCTAATAGTAATACATGATTTTAATTTTTGAAACAAATGCTTGCATCTCAATGAAATTACTATTATAGGCTGTGAGTACATTAGTGACCTCTTCTTTAATATTTGAAGAATAAATTACAGGATGGTGGTGAGTTCATCATGGAGACAAGGCTATCAAAACAACCCATGGTAAGTTGGAGACTCCTAACACTCTTTAAACATCCTTTGTTTTTCAAATAGATTATAGCATTAAAATCTCACTAAGGTGAGCAGTTAGCACAATTATTATGAAAAACAATGGAGAAATTAAAATTGATAAGAAAGTGACCATATTTTATCAAAAGACGTGTAGTTTATATGATGAACCACAGTGATCATTTTATTGAAGTTGTCATTTACAATATATATGTATTTGCAGAATTGGCAGTGCTCATTGGTAGTACCACGTAAGGAGAAACCTCTCTTGAATGCAGGTGAGAGTTTCAATCAATATGATCAAGATCCTTGTTATAAAATTGGAAATATGGTCTCTATATGCATTGAGGGTTAACCCTTAAACAGTTAGGCTATTGAGAGGGACAGATCTGCCCCCCCCTATGATCGCAGAACTGACCAATCATAGGAGGTTTTATTATTAGGTATCATTGGAAAGGTTATTCAATTACCAGTGTTTCTAGCTCACACATAACTATATTGAGTCTTTGTCAATGAAGAAATTCATTTTCTAAGAACATAGAGGTTCATCATTTCAAGTCAAAATTACTGACAATTTGGATATTTCGGTAACTTTGACCAGCTCTAACTTTCCTCCTAGAGCGGTTAGAGTCACAAGTTATCGAAAAAAATTCCTAATTGGGGGGGGCAGAATTTTCTCAGTGAACTTAAAGGGATAGAATTTGGATATTTTAGGTCTTAATGATTCTGATAAAGGTACACCCCATCTCTAATGAATTCAGACTTCGGCATCTTATATCTTCAAAAACTTAAATATTTGATCAGATTAAAATTTTTCAGGAAGTAAAATTAGGAAAGAAAACATTGGCATGTTTTTTGAAAGATTACTTCCAACATTTTACACTCTAGATCTCTGTACCATCTAATTCCTATATTTATACATGTATTTAACATTTTACCATGGTAACATAATTTAAAACTATATACATATATTCCAGTAAAGACAGAGTTCTCGGCTTATATGCAAATTGTTAAGACTTTGAGAAAGTCAACATTGGAAAAATCCCCAGTTGAGCCTCAACCTGATATCTTCCAAGGAATCTGTCTACCCCCTAGAGTCCCCCCTGCAGCTACGAAGATACCGACTGGCCTCAAAGTGAGGTATATACCATTCGGAGCAGGTGAGTCATCGATATCCTATATATAATGTGGCACGTACAGTAAATCTGAATAAGTTAAACAAAAACGTGACGAAAAAAGTTATGGTGACTAAACTTTGAAGTCTTACATTTCTAAAAACACTGTATTGTATTTACATCTCTCCAAGTAATTCAGAGAGATTACAAGAAAAGTTCAACAGCTAGTATGTATTATTTCCAGATGTTGTCAGCCCTGTTCCAATGCCACCTAAAGTTCACCCCAGTGGGAAAGTGAACATGGACTCTAGCATAGCATCTCCAATACCAGCCATTGATACACAAAGATCGGGTAAAGAGAATGGAAGATTTGTCAATAATTTCAGAATGCTTAGAATTAATCAGCAGTCATTAACTTTTCCATGAGTGAATGCAGTGGTTTCAAGGAACAGGCAATTTTTTCTGTTCATCTGTTGAGATTTGTTTTGATGTGAAAATATTCAATAGTTTTGCCTGTTGTTTTCCTTGTTTTGTAATAACAGATCTAACGCCTCCTTTCCAAATAGTGGTTTGCACCATGTTAAAAAGTAAATACTGTAGCTGCCTTTATTCATTCTGACAAGACCACTAAAATATCATCTCTCAGATGTGGTTTTTGGAAACTCATGTTCCAAATGAGGAAATCAGGAAAAATTCTGTTTGAGAAACCGTATTTTTTTTCATCTATTGGCATTCAATACATAAAAATTGCCATTTTCTATTTTGGTCTCAGTTTCACTGGTCCACAGTTGGATGACTAACTGCAGTTAGTATCATTCAAGATAGTGGCCAAAATTCTTTCGTTTTTGGTAAACTCTAGCTAAACTAAGTTGAATCTGGATTCCAAATATTTCGCCTTTACAAACTAATGAAGCTATGATTGTGAACAACCACAAGAAAACTGAATTTGATGATGATGTAGGAATGACACTAACTGAAACAGTGGATGACACTAACTCTATGGGAGGAATACATACATGGCCTTCTGAGTTAGTGTCATCAATGGTGAATATCATCTTTGAGTAAGTGTATCATCAACTTCAGTTAGAGTCATTCTAAGGGAAGCTGTTTTCTTTAAAATTCTCAATTAATGCAGGTGTCTGAGCATTCTTTCCTGGCTGTTTACAATTGTTACTTTATTAGTTTGCATGGAGAAACATTTAGAATCCAGATTCAACTTAGTTTAGCTGAAATCGTTGGTTTATCAAAACTAAAGAATTTTGGGCAGCATATTGAATGAGTTTGATGTAGGAAGAATTATTCAAGCAGCAAATGTAAGAATAGTTGGAATCTGATACAAGACTGACAGCCCTTTATATAACCCTGCTTGACTTGTAGAGAACAGAATCATCTGGCATTATGATGTGATTATGATGATCAATAGGTATTCATAAGTTAGATAAAGTTTGAAATGTTTTGTATTTTTCAGAGTCCAAACACAAGTCAAAGAAGAAAAAGAAGCACAAGAAACATAAGAGCTAAGATACTTGGTGATTTAATAACAAATTATTATAGACTTGCAGCGTTGACCCTCAGGCCAATGGATTTTTGTGTTACACAGGCTATGGAGAAGGGACCTAGATTACGAGATATCTCATAAATAAAAGATAATGGGACAAAATTACAACAGACGTAATTCATCATATTGACCCTGTATAATAATATGCATGTGTTCAAATACATATACTCAAGTAAACCAGCATTTAATCAGGTATGGATTAAGAATTTGGTACATCGTTTTGAACAATGGACTTCTTTAAATGCAAACTTCATCACTGAGAATAAAAGCTGCCGAGATACTACACCAATAGAACAGACTATACCATACTTATGTTGTAATGACATGATTTATTGACAAAACAATAAAGATTTACAAAATTGGCAGTGTATTTGCTGGTCTAATTCCGGTCTCTTCCTGCAGAAGTTAGTAAAATAGGTGTCATTTAAAACTTTCTATCATATACTATAGATTCTAAAGAACACTAAAAATGAACATTCCCTATAATATTTCATAACACTCACTGGATTTTTCAACTAGGACTGTTTCAAAAAAACCATGTGACACTACATGTATACATCCAGACTTCTATGGAACACACTCTAAAAAGATAAAAGAACCAATTACATTAGGGAATTCTGTCTAAATCTAAATAATGTTTGTAAAATTACATGTTACTTATATGGATTCTCAGTCTGGAGTGTTTAGTACTAGTATACCTCAATTTCAGTATGTCACGGAACACTGGAATGGTGTTAATATCAAGAACAAATACACTGCCATCTATTGGGATTCATGTTCTAATATGATTTATTTTAATATGCAATTCATATGATTTAATGTACATTCGTAGCACATTATATTTAAATACAGGCATTAATTCATTATCATTTGAGTAAAATGAGAGATAGTTTCAGCATGATCCCTCCCAACATTACATGATCCAGTAAAACATCACTTGACTGCATTTCCATTTACGGACTTCAAAAGAAAAACAGAATTCAGAGTGAATGTTTCTGAAAGGGACAGCATCTTTACAACAAAACCAACAAGTTTTCTTAGCTCTGTCCCGATTATATAACATCTGCATCTTAATATATTTTACAATTCAACTTTGCTAACATTGGCTGATTCAATGTCATGCTATGACAATACAATTAAAATCTAGTTCTAAAACAGTACACTGTCTCTTCGCAATTCAATGGAATATAAAACGATTCAGTGAGGCATGTCAATAGTTTTGCTCATGAATGGTCAATGTTTAACAAAGCAAGTTAAAATGTGCACTCATGGAAATGGGCTTATCAAAGATTTAAGTGTGACCACTTGAAAACCACATTGTTGTCATGCCCACGCACAAGCAGTAATTCTTTAATTAATAAAATCACACTTTGTAAATCATCCTCAAGTCTTCACTTTTCATGTCTGAATAATTGTTCACGCTGCACTAACATAATATACAGGCAAACCAGAGTGTGCCAGTGACACAAGTCAAGAGGTCTGGAGTAACATTGTTTGATCTGCACATATCCTATTAAAAAGCGTCTTTGTGAACCAAACAGATCTCGGGTCAATTTAAACATACAGAAGCATCGCTTTAGAAGCAATGTTTGTTTGCCATATCCCAATTTCCTTGTGTTTCTTGTAAACTTTGATAATGTTATGCATATGAATTCAAACTGAATTATTTAACATTGTTCAAACGTTTTATTTGACAATGCTACGTCGTGATGGCTCAGAAGCAGTGGGTGGTGGTGGCGCCCCCTTTCTCTCAAGATCTTCAATGTGGGAAATCAAGATTTTATCGCGTTCTTCTGGTTTTCCACTCATCACCAGGAAGCGTTTGTCATTCTGGAATTAAATAATTGAAATATTTATATAAGGTTTTTCTGTCATTGTCAAATAGTAAATACAGTATAAAATCAACCTAAATGTTCTGCAGAAAACAGAGATTTTAAACCTCTGAAATATCAATAATGTAAAAATCTAAATAACAAATGCCAGATCCATGAATAAAAGTGTCGAAATAATTCTGTTCTGAAATATGCAAAATATTTACGTTATTATCATGTAGACTGGATAAATATTTCCACTTACCTCTAAAAGTTTGTGAATATCTTTCAAATGCAGCTCATTTTCCTCTATGAGGGACTTTGACTTATATGTGATAACCTTTGTCTCTTTCAATAGCTCACGAAAGTCAACCTTGGCTTGCTGGTATTTATCATGAATGTAATCATTGAATTCCCTCTCTCGTTTCTAAAAAAGAAATGTTCAATTATCATCTATTATACCTTGTTTCTGTATGAATGTATCACTAAACGGTGTTGAAAAAGGGGTACATTTCTAAACTTTTGGAAGTCCTTTTGTTTTATATTGTGTCAATTATTAATTCCAACACTGGATTTAAAGTCCCCGATAAATCGGGCTACGTATACCGCCGTGTTTACATTAGAGGATTAGAAGAGTTTATTTTTTATTTAGGTATGCAAGCGTATATCAATATTAGGCCTTCATTCATGTACTCGTGTGCATGTAATCAGCATGCCCTTCAATATTATGTAAACCAGGCTATTCAAGTATAATGTACACTATTTATGTGTGTACTACATACAATACAATTCCCTGGGAAACAAAACACAAATACGTTTTATATGTTCAAAATGAGCCATTTGATTGATGCACACTAAATAGCTTCATAAATAACATCTACAAAGTATATCTAATAGTAATTTTCAATTTCAATGTTGAAACTTCCCTGGTTAAGATTATATGGGAAATTATCACGAGACGAAGATCGTTCGCCTTCCTGGCTTACCTCTGAATCGTGTACCGGGCAATCTCTTTATATAGTTTAGCGAGAGCGGTGCGCCTGCGCAGTTTTAAACTTTGGCGCACACTTTAAGGATATTTAATCAACATCAATTGAAGGAATAGACCCCAAATTTATAAGGCATGCTAGGACTGAGCGATACATGATTATAGGGTTAACATAGCTGATTTGAGGTCCACATTGCTTCTTCCTGGTATTTTAAGAATAATCATGGCAAGCAGTCTTACCCTATCACTGGAGGAAAATTTTGAATAACGTGGATCTTCTTTTACTAATTTCTTGGCCTCTTTCCATGACAACTGAAGTGAGATCTGAAACACACAATAACATAATGATAAAATATCATTGTAAAGTTAAACGGCAAAACAATGTTAAACTGTCACCACCATTTGTTACAGATGCCAACCGCTGATCGCAAACCGCAGTCACAAAAATGGAGACCATAACAATATATCACCACTTTTTGGTGGTGACATAATAAATCCAGTTGACTATGGACCAGTTTAATTATTTTTACGTATTAAAATATAGGGCAACATATTTTGATTAATAGGCTTGAAATCAATGTGACACCCTGAATAAATCCAAGTGAAGTTGCAGCACCTCACAAAAGAATGAGTGCAAGCATCTAAACCCATTGGAGCACCTCACAAAAGAATGAGTGCAAGCGTCTAAACCCATTGCAGCACCTCACAAAACAATGAGTGCAAGCGTCTAAACCCATTGCAGCACCTCACAAAAGAATGAGTGCAAGCATCTAAACCCATTGGAGCACCTCACAAAAGAATGAGTGCAAGCGTCTAAACCCATGTGCTCCATGTTCCAATGGAAGTGATTTTTTCAAGGTGCCCACAATGTAATTTAGTAACACCACTCTCACATAAATTTGAGGAGTGTTCAATAAAGCATCCCCTTACCTCTGTTGCCTCATCTAACATCTTATGGAACATCTCTTTGTTCTTTCGGTTTAGAGCTTCAATATGTTCATCAAAGATTCTTTCCTTCTCCTCACGTTCCAAATTCTCCAACATGTCCCAACGATGGTCCTTGCGTAGCATTTTACGTGTGTCTCTCCAGGAGTTGTCAGCATTCTTAACCTGGACATAAAATGTTCTCATTCAATAAAATTTTACAACTGTACAATAAAATCAAGTCAGTAGCAGACAGAAGAAAATCAGAATAACATAAGCTTAAGGCAACTATTATACTACATGTATATGAGACCCAACACTCACCAGATCAGCGAGAAGAGCCTTGAAGTGCTGAACTGATTCATCCTTCTTATGAGCCTCTCGTTCCTTGTCACGTTCCCTGAGTGATGTCGAGAGTGTCTTCTGAACCTCCTCCTCTCTCTTCCGTATACTCTGCTCAATACGTTCCAGCTTCTCACGCTCTTTACGCTCATCATCATCAGAATCCTGACAAATAAATCATTCGTTAACTAAAAACTGAGAAATGGCAGTGTTTGTCTCTTTCTAAAATTATTGATGGATGAGTTGATTGAGTGGATGATTCCAAAAAAGTTCAGTGTTTTAGGAAACTATTTCTGGATCTGTTTCTTACTGTATTTCAGTTTTGGAATCACTTCTGCAAAGGGAGGTTTGTAACACATATGTACCAGTTCTTAACATTCACAACACTTGCTTGTAATGCACAATTGATATCTATTTCTATATCTATTGAGATTTATTTCAACAAAACTCATGAGAATAATACCCATCTGGGGATATCATGGCCAAGAAGAAGATATAAATATAGGTTTCATTAGAACTACTGTATTCATAACTAATTGAGATCTGTAATTGCTTCATGTAACAATTATTTTGCACTTTGCATTGTATGCCACCATGTAGCCCCCTGTAGGTCTAATAGTAGAGAGGGTTGTTCTGGTGACACTTTATTTAAGAGGGTAGTATCAGCAAGTGGGCTACAGCTCCAGCTCCACTACTTTCTTTCCCCTCTAACTTCATTTCTTCCCCTCTTACAGCCCATTCCCTCCTCTTACAGCCTTTCTTCCCGTCTAACATTCTTTCTTTCCATTCTAACATCACTTCTTTCCCCTCTTACAGCCTTTTTTCCATTCTAACATCACTTCTTCCCCTCTTACAGCCCATTCCCTCCTCTTACAGCCTTTCTTCCCATCTAACATTCTTTCTTTCCATTCTAATATCACTTTTTCCCCCCATTACAGCCCATTCCTCCTCTTACAGCCTTTCTTCCCCTCTAACATTCTTTCTTTCCATTCTAACATCACTTCTTTCCCCTGTTACAGCCCATTCCCTCCTCTTACAGCCTTTCTTCCCCTCTAACATTCTTTCTTTCCATTCTAATATCACTTCTTTACCCTCTTACAGCCCATTCCCTCCTCTTACAGCCTTTCTTCCCATCTAACATTCTTTCTTTCCATTCTAATATCACTTCTTTACCCTCTTACAGCCCATTCCCTCCTCTTACAGCCTTTCTTCCCCTCTAACATTCTTTCCATTCTAACATCACTTCTTTCCCCTCTTACATCCCATTCTCTCCTCTTACAGCCTTTCTTCCCCTCTAACACCCTTTATTTCCATTCTAACAACACTTCTTTCCCCCATTACAGCCCATTCCTCCTCTTACAGCTTTTCTTCCCCTCTAACATTCTTTCTTTCCATTCTAACATCACTTCTTTCCCCTGTTACAGCCCATTCCCTCCTCTTACAGCCTTTCTTCCCCTCCAAGATCACTTAATTCACCGCTTACAGCCCATTCCCCTCTTACAGCCTTTTTCCCCCTCTTACAGCCTTTTCCCCCCTCTAACAACCTTTCTTTCCCCCATCTAACAGCCTTTCTTTCCCCCATCTAACAGCCTTTCTTCCCCCCTCTAACAGCCTTTCTTTCCCCCATCTAACAGCCTTTCTTTCCCCCATCTAACAGCCTTTCTTTCCCCCATCTAACAGCTTTTCTTTCCCCCCTCTAACAGCCTTTCTTTCCCCATCTAACAGCCTTTCTTCCCCCCTCTAACAGCCTTTCTTTCCCCCTCTAACAGCCTTTTTCCCCTCTAACAGCTTTTCTTTCCCCCCCTCTAACAGCCTTTCTTTCCCCCATCTAACAGCCTTTCTTTCCCCCTCTAACAGCCTTTCTTTCCCCCTCTAACAGCCTTTCTTTCCCCCCTCTAACAGCCTTTCTTTCCCCCTCTAACAGCCTTTCTTTCCCCCCTCTAACAGCCTTTCTTTCCCCTTTAACAGCCTCCTCCCAACCACCCTTCTTTTCCACCAAACAGCCTTTCTTTCTCCTCTTCAATCCTTTCATTCCCATCAAACAGTCTTTCCACTCTTACAGCCTTTCTTTCACTTCTTATTACAGTTTAGCTTTGAGCTAAATTATTAAACATACCACTTGCATGCTTTTGGGGTTGGGGATCTCTATGAGAACCAGCAGTAATGAATTGAATATGTATTGTAGCTATTAATACTTAGGTGGTTCAAAAAGTTTTGCAGTTGATGCCATAACTTCAAGGAAAATAGGACTTTTGCAATGAAACTTGGTACACAAATGTGTTATATATTTATACATTATATGGTAAAATTTGGGACCTCAATTCTGATTGGTTCTTGAGATATGGTTGCTATGGTAACCAGAGTGGTGGGTACCATGTTCAACCCAAATAGTTTTCTTGCTTGAATAAACTCTTTGTAAAATGGCAATTAGCAGGTGTAAGTGTCTTTGGGTGGCTATTTTTCTTCAAATTCTTCAATTTTTCTAATTGTCTCTATGACATCACAATAGACAAGTGACACGATAAGTTCCTTTGTGATGTATACTGTCCAAAACCCAGTTGAAAAATTGAGATGGAAAAGTGAGGAAATTTTGAATTTTTTTTCCAAAATTTTCAAAATGGCAGATGTTTCCACACCAACCAAATTGATGAAATGGAAGCATAGAAATCTGATACAGTGCATGGTTCAAAATGGCAAGACTTTGCAAGAGACTTATGAACTGGTTCAGGGAGCATTTGGAAATGATGCCAAAACGTATCCAGAAATTGCCTAGATACTGCAAGACGCGCTTCCTTTTGCTCCACTGTGAGGAACTTTGGAACCCACTTTGCTGCAACATACCGCTTTTTCAAGATCTTTGTGACAATTGTATGGCAGGACCCCTAAGATATATCCAGTAAATCACTTATTTCCTCTCATGAAATATGTCTGTCCTGCTCTAAAAGAACTTTTATCTTTTCCCAAAGACACTTACACCTGCTAATTGCCACTTTACAAAGAGTTTATTCAGGCAAGAAAACTATTTGGAAAAAAGTAATTTCGGGTTGAACATGGTACCCACCACTCTGGTTAATTGAGGTCCCAAATTTTAACATATAATGTATAACACATATGTGTACCAAGTTTCATTGTAAAAGTCCTATTTTCCTTGATGTTATGGCATCAACTGCAAAACTTTTTGAACCACCTAAGTATAATGTGCAATATATACACAGCCAATATAATTCGACCCCGTTTCGGCATCGAAAAAATTCGGCACTGTTCCGGCACCATTTCGACACTGTTCCGGCACCCAAACCTTTCAACACTAAAATTTGCTACCGGACTAGTCAGTCCATTTGGTGCCGAAACGGCACCGAAATTTGGCATCGAAACGGCGTCGAAAATCAGATTGCATTTTGGGGGTGTAGATTATACACAGTAAAGAATCAATTTTCACTATTAATGGTTAATAATTGAAAGTCTTACTTGGTCATGTTTATTCTTAGAGGCCTTGGCACCAGACTAAATAGATAAAGGGTATAGGAATTAGAAAACTCTATAATAAATACAGTGAAGTACATTAAACCAAACACCACACATTTTCTTAAAGGAACTGTCAGTGGATTAAATACATGCCAAACTGACCCTGAAACAGCTCAATAAATTATATTAACAGGTTTTAAATACTGTACATGCGTGGGTGATATATGAAAAGATTTCTATGCTACTCACATCTTCTAGGGTTCGTACATAGTCTCTGAACCAATCCTCTCTCTTGGTACTGCTCTCTACAGCCTTGTAGCGGGGGTCAGAATCAATACGCTTCTTTGTCTCTGTCCAGCGTGATTTATAATCAAGATCTGGCGTATCCTTGAGCAGTTGAATATAGTCCGTTTTAATCTACAAGACAAGGACATGAGTATAACTATTGCCCACATTTCTTTATGAAGCTGCAAATGGTTAACATTATATATTTATGTCCGACAATTCCTTTGTGTAACCTCAGCTCTGGAATGAAGTAAGAATGCATCTTCTTGTCAATAATGTGTTACAAATATATAAACAGTAGTTTAGCTATGATCAGTTAAGTGTATTCTAAGCTGTTCTAGCAGAATTATTGTGAATCTGCAAAGTAAATTATTAGACACAAAATTAAAAAGAATGACAGTCACATATGAAAATAATTGAATTGATGTACCAAATCCTTTATCTTTTAACAAATCAAGATCAATTAAAAAATATGATTATTTCTATTCTCTGCTTTAATGATCTAGTATTACATCTTACACTGTTTAATATATAAGTGATCAGTTTGAATGCTCTACTTTAAAAACAACAAATATTGATACATCTTAAATGCTCTACTTTATAAGAACAATAGAACTAAGATTCACACAGTTAATATTTCAAGAAAATAATCATTGCTAATATCAGATGATTTTGTACAATTATTAAATGCTTGATATTCTTAAATCTACTGTAACAAAATGCACAATGTGTACAGTGAAATGTACAATGTCACATTATTGTGATATAATTTATATATTACAATTATTATGGAGACACTATATTCTCTATCAGTCTATTACATTCAAATTCAAAACATTTCTGATTTCTAATTGATATAAGCTGCAATTTGTCTGGATAATATTGTGTTTTTCTTATTTTTGCCCTGTGCTTTTTAATTTTTGTATCATATGAAACAAATAAATAATTTAATATACTTCTACACTGATTGTTTTTTACTTGCACAGAGATAACATGGTGGGAACCATTTTAAAAACCTTGAACTACAACTGTAAAGTGATAGTGATGGCAACTTTCCAACTTTTACACAAAACATGCTTGACATTTGAAAATGTGATTGAGCAAATGTAGTAAAATGAAAATTAACTTCATCAATTTTGTTCAGCGAACACCAGTTCTGGAAAAAGTTCAATGTATTGTATAATAAATAATAATATATGTATAATAATTCTTTGTTGTTGTTCATTTTACAACATGTGCTGAATCCCATTTTCAGTATGACTTTGTTTACATCATCTAAGCTCATCTAGGAAGTTGCCAGAATCAAACCCTAAAAAAGAGAACTAACCAATCAATAAATCAACAAAAAAGTATACAAGTTTACATGCAAGACAAGTCTTTGGGAGAGATGATTGTCAGTCCTCTTTGCGCAGTATTTAATGTATTTTAGGACAATGCGTGTTGCTTAAGTGCCCTACCAACATCCAAGGCCTTATCGCTAACATGTACAATTTAATATAAATATACCCCTCAGGAGAGTATCAGGTGTAAATGTATTGTTCCAGGAATCTCAACTTCAGATCCTTATAAATGAATCTATATGAAAATTGAAATTCCTGGTATTTTGATATGTATACTTATAAAATAGGCGAAACAATTCAACAACCCCACAGAAAGTGGGTATTACTTTTAAGAATTGCTTTTCCTAAACTGTCAAATGTTGGTGTTCATTTAACATTACATCACACATCAAACAAGACTTCTTCACCATATTGCTGTGCCAATCTCAAATGCAGCCACAGTTATCCTCTTTCTAACCTGTAACACCTTATACCTCTCTAAAATTGAAAATACTGTTCGAACCATTACCATTGTTACAGACTTACATTTCTTTAAATAATTATACAAACATTCAAACACAGGCCCACAGCAACCTTAAACATCTTTAAAGCTGAACATTTTTGGAGAAACCTTTATAGTTCTGACTTGAACAGGCTCTTGTAATATTTAATGAAATGAGGAATAGGTCGATAATATAAGATACTTGGGACAGCATTATGTTGTAGAATGTTAGAATAAGGTGGAGATTTTGCATAAAGAAGATAGAAATCATGTCTATAAACAAACACTTGAGGGGGACCATATATAGAACACTATTTCAGAAATTAAAGCACTTAGTCTGTATTCTGTATCAAATTATAGTCAAACTGTCATCTAACTCTATATTTGTGAAATGATACTGAATTTGTTAATTTCAAGTTTACCGTACCCATACTTCAGTGAACAGAAAAATACTATTTATACTGGTACAATTAGTGCAAAAATGATGGTCTGGCTGATATGGCCCCCAACAAGGGCCTGCTGCTAGATTTGTGCTGCAACTGACGGAGAAATCAGGTTTGTCAACTACTTTTCTATCAAGCCAATATGCCAATTTGTACTAGAACTCATCGAAATGAGCCAAATTTGTAGAAATGCTCAATTAATATCGTTCTATTTTTGATATACAAGTTTTTTGTATTTTATTCCAGATGTAGAATTCTTTAATGCAAACTTTCCAAGATCTAAATGAAGCTTCATATTGTCCATATGAATTCTCTTACCTAAATTAGAATATGCCCGTTTATTTTGCTCATTACTCGTTTCACTCTTTATCAACATTTGAATTATTTTAGACTTTATATGAAAAAACAACAAATTGGCTTGCTAGATAACTACTGAGACAAAAACATCGGCCACAAGAATTGCTGAAATTGTCAAAAAAGCACAATACGGTCTTCCTAAGTAATGATAACCTCATCTCAAATGAGCTTTCCCCAAATATGAATGCAAAATAAATATCAATATTCGAAAATGAAAACACAAAATACCATTATAAAAACCTTCAAGGCATGAGTGTTTTGGTTCGGGTTTATTAAACTGCGTCAATGCGCGATCTTGGTCACATGTTGCTTCTACGGCCAGCTAAATTGGCTCTTCCATTTAACCCCCTCCAAGGTGCTGTAAAGCAATGCCGTAATTGTAGTCAACATGTCAAAAATCAAATTAGATCCAGAAAGACAAAACAATTGCCTCTATTGTAGTTAATTTTCTTTATAGATAAACACTTTACTAGAAAACTATCAATATGTTAACTCATTTTAATAAAAAAAAAAACATTAAGGTATATTGCTTGAAGTGAAGCCATTGATTTGAATAATCAAACAATAATTTGTAAATGATAAAATTTGTTCCACATGTTTCAAAACTCTTATAAATAAATAAGATCAACAGTTTAAAGAATAGGCACATTTAGCATGAAATTCATATACATCAATCATATATAGAAGGCCTGAAATAAAAAGTTAAGACATTTGTTCTGTAATATATTGTATAGCAAATTATAAAGACAGTGCTACAATATATTATAATCAAATTAATAGTATAGCAGATCAGTTGAAAAAAATATTTTTAAGAAAAATACATCTAATCCAACTAGTTATGAAGAAACAAATACAGGTACACAGATAGCAATTATATTAATATAATAAAAATAGTATTAAATACTATCATGAAATATTCAATTATTAACCCAAATTATCAAATACTATTTGACAAATTGTATCAAGTTATTGACTCTGCCTTGTCACTTTGTATTTAATAATTAATATTTTAAATCTGTAAAAAACATGTATTAGTAGCTGAAAATGCATATTAGAAATACTGTAATATGAAATATCAAGAGTGCAGCCAGACAGGAGGCAGCTGGTGAGGCAGCTGGTGGGGCAAATGCCTCACTTAAATTAACTTTTGAAATAAAACTAAGCCCAATGATAATATTGTCTCCCTATTTGAATAAATTTGCAGTGTCTATTTTTGATCTGCTAAACTGTTTGCTAAGCTTTGGCCCATTTTTCTATTCTTGCCTCACATGTTTTTGTATTCTTGCTACATCCTTGATTATGTTGAAGATCATTCTCAGTTGATTTTGAAATTGATTTAAGCAAATAAACAAGAATACAATAAACAATGAATTTATCATAAAACTTGCTTTTGTTTCATTCAATTCTGATGTTGAAACTAATCTGTTGAAATATTTATGAGAACAATATAGTTATATTGAGAAAGTTTGTCTAATGGCTTTTTTATTCGTTATTAATTATTTTTGTATTTTCAGCTATAAAACTGCATAAAAATACTTTTTATCACCTAAACGAAGTTTGTTTTCTTGAATAACACCATTGAAGATGTTATTCTGGTTAAACTATGTCACATTATCCCAAATCAGAATTTGACAAAAAGCCATGGTCAAACTTTTTGTAGAATTCAAGTGTTTAGTGAAGCAAACAAATGGACATACCTTTTCTTTAAGATTTGACTTGGCCTCCTTTTCTTTCTTACGTAAATCAGATATAAAATCAGAGAAAATAGCTTCTCTGTCTCGCATTTTCTCAATTCCCTTGAACCTCTCTTCCTTGCTATATTTGGCTGCAAAGTCGCTGAATGAAGACCTACAAATGTGGCAATTAATTAATATTATATTGTGTAATATTATGATATCTTGAATACATACTTGCTTTTACATGTTTTCTCATCAAATGAAACCTAAGACTTGACTGAATAAATGAGTCTACTACAGAGGCTTCCACTTACTTCCCATTCAATTTACATTCCTCCAAAAGAGCCTTGAACTGGTCTTTTTTCTCCCGTAGTTTGTTGCGTTTCTCACGTCGCTCCTCTTCCGCTCTCTCCTTCACATACTGCTCAAAGACCTGCTTGCGTTCCTTGGATGTCAACAACAAGTACCGTGGATCAAACACAATCTTGTGCAGCTCTTTCTCCCATGTAGAAAATGCAGATACCTAAATAGAATAATAAACTATGTAAAACTAATAACTCCTCGATCGCCTTTCAGCATTATAGAGGAGCAAATAAACACAAATAATATAATAGCAAATGTGTGCTGGTCAGGCACAGGAGTTTCCTGGGTCTTGGGTGATATCAGGTCTGGAAGCCGGGTCGGTACTCGTAAGGTTTTGAGAGCCAAATTGTTGGTGTGAAGAAAAGTTGCAACAGTTGTCAAAATAAGTGAATTTTTATCTAGGGAGATGTCAAGACTTCCATGCTTAAATAAGTTCAAGTTATAATTCTGATTTCTATGTTCAATTTGTGCTATTTCATTGATATCTTTAAATAATTTTTCTCTCTGCAGTTAATAGTAGACAGTGAAAGAAAACATGTTTCAAGGTTTGGGGAAGTCCACATGTACAATTAGGAGTATCAATAAAATTAAAGTTGTGAGCATATAACTGGGCTTTAAACAGGAGATCAGCTCTAAGTCGATTAATGATAATTTCATGATTTCTTGAGATGTTGAGTTGGCTTGTAGCTAGATATAGTTTGATGTTGATCCGAAAAAATAACTTTTGTTTCTGTTTGAAGGTTTGAAGAGTTTTACAAAGTTTGATTTTATTTGGAAGACTAAGCCAGCTAGAAATAGCAGCTGGAACTGCGGATTTACGATAGGTTTCTGAGCATCGGACAGGTAATCTGAATTCACGGTTTTCGCGAAGATCACGACCCCTAGGGTTACGGAATTTTTCAAAAATTTCATCAATGTATATTGGAACAGGGCCATTAACTATTTTGAACATTTGATTATTTATTTGAATTTTTCGCCGGATAGGCCACTGAAGTAGAGAAAGCACCTTATCGAAACTGCTTCCATGGAGACAACCAGAGCAAGATAGTGCAGCTTGATAGTATAATCTGTCTAGTCTTTGAAGGAGGTACTTAGGAGCTGTATTGTACAGGACAGTTCCATATTCAAAATGTGGACGAATGAAAGAATTAAAAATAGTTTCAATGTGTTTAGAAGTCATCATATTTTTGAGTGCCTTTAATGGACCAAGCATTTTACTAATTTTGTCAAAGATATCATTTATATGCTGTCTATGAGTTAGACAAGGGTCAAAAGTATAACCAAGATGTTTGTGCACATTGACTCTCTCAATTTCCATATTATTTAGAGTAGATGAACTAACATTGTCTAGTTTCATTTTGGATCCGTGAAAAATGATTTCACAACTTTTTTCAGGCTTAAACTGTAAGCCCCATGTTTTCGACCAAAGCTCAATATTCTGGAGATGTAACACTGTCCGTTTAAGTTATCAGGAAGGTCATTTATATAGAGGATGAAGAAAAGAGGACCAAGTATGGAGCCCTGAGGTACTCCACAGTTTATAAATCCAGATTCAGATGAGACTGATGAATCACCACTAATATTTACAAACATCTTTCTATCACTTAGATAAGATTCAATAATTTTGAATAACTGTCCATGGATACCATAGGATTTTAGCTTATGTAGTAATAGTTTATGCGGAACTTTGTCAAACGTAGATGCAATGTCCAAAAATATTGTTTTTGTTGCATTACCTTGATCAAAATTGTTGTTTTCTTTCAATCTATTGTAAGAAATTCTAATGAAACTTCTAACTTATATTACTGACAGTTGGTGGTTTAAGGAGCATATGAGCATGAGCACATTTCAAAACTGAAAAACTTAACAAAAGCAACACCACAGATTATCAAATTCAATCTTTGAAAATTATGGTGATTGTTAGTGTATTCAGAAAGTGTGATGACGAGTAACATTTGAAAATTCACTGAAATTTTTATGATAAGAAATAAAATACCAATATGCTCGATTGCTCAATTGCAAAGGTTTCTAAATAGTTGAAAAACTGTACTCCAAGATTCAAAAATATAAAACCATATGGGAGAAATCTGAAATATGCATAATAAAAATGACAAATTCACAGTTAGTTACCTCTTTCTCAGCAAGCATATCTCTGAATTGTCTCATCCTGATGTCCTGAGGTACAATTGCACGCTCCCTAGCAGCCTTCACTTCAGCCTCAATGGCTGCTTCCTTCCCAACATCTATACGATTTGGCTTATCATCACTCCCACCCCTTCAAATAGAGAAAGAAATTATATCTTAGCAAATAAACTTCACAAACTGATGTTCATCAAGAAAATCAACAAAGGTTTGTTCTTAGATAAAATTCTTTTGCAATTGTTTTGTTGGTAGATGATGTCACGAAGCAGACTGTAGTCAGATGATGTCATAAATCAGACTGTAGTCAGATTATGTCATAAATCAGACTGTAGTCAGATGATGTCATGAAGCAGACTGTAGTCATAAGATGTCATAAATCAAACTGTAGTCAGATGAAATCATGAATAAAACTGTAGTCAGATGATGTCATGAAGCAGACTGTAGTGTGATTTTCCTTACTTCTTTTTCTTTGACTTTGGCTCATCAGAGGAAGGTTCATCTGCTTTCTTCTTGCCTCCCAATGCCTCTGGTTTCTCATTCATCAAACGATCAACCTCTATAATGTTGAATAATAGTTGTATGTTATAGAATTATTAGACACCTACATGCTTTTTAAGGTAATTTTTTTTGCATAATGAATACATGTACTACAATACAATGCATTAATTGTAGAGGCCTAGACTGAAAATTATACTATTCAAAATACTGAACAAAAGCAAGCCAAATTGACATTTAAAATGGAAGCTACACAGAGAAATATTCTGTACAAATGCCCTCCAAATACAATTGTTATCAAGTGGACCAAAAGAGGGTGGACCTTAGGAAAACCCCAAAGTAAACATAGAAATATGTTCAGGTTTTGAATCTTCTTTGTGTTGCACTTTAGGAACACAATAGAGTTTCATAATTTCTAAAAAATTGTTTCATCTGAAAAAGACTTCACTGACTGACTAACCTGGTTTATTAAGAAGATCCTCTGGTTTTTCCCACACAGAGAGTCGCTGACTTGGATTGTAGAAGAAACACCTCCCATCACCAGTCCACACAACACACCAGGGGGTGCCAGTAATTGGTGTACTAGATACTGGCTTACTCTTCTCAGCCTCTTTTTGCTCTTCTGTCATTTGCTCTTCCTCCTAAAATTGAAAGAAAATGATAAAAGCTTATGTTTACTGATCTAAACTTTGCCTATAATGTGCACTGATCACACATATTTGGCTTTTAATAAAATGTAGGACAGCAAACTCTGAACTGCAAACTGATATCATTCACTCATTTTTCTTTGTCCAAGCTTGTGTCTGAAACCACTTGACTGAGATATGTCAGAAGAGAATTAAGTTTCTTGGTTAATGTTTTTAATAATGTACTTGCAGTACAGGCTCGAGAGGGACAGAAAAAAGTAAACCCTAATAAAACCAGGATGAATAGTTGTACAAATGGTACCATTCTATAAATTACTTACCTCCTTTTTGGCCTCAACTACCTGTGGCTCAGACTGGGCCTCTTGAGCTTCCATGGGTTCCTCTTGGGCAGGTTTCTCTTGCACACCATTAGGCATGGCCTGTGGCTTAGTAGATTCTGTTGCTACTTGAGACACTGCTGGTGTTTCTGTTGCTGCTACACTTGCTGTAAACACATTTCATATACCTAGATGTATTCTTAAAATCCATCAGGTGATGAGAATTCATTCTAAAATATTTTTTGTATTTTACTTGTGAACAGAATATGAATATTATGGGTGTCATGGAACAAAAAAAATCTGAAAAATTCAGTTTTGAGCATTTGGCTTTCAGTGTTCGCGTTGACGCCGTTTTTTGCCATTTTTACGGAAATTTTAGAAGGTTGGACGTAAAAATCAAAATCAACTTACGTCCCTAGGACGCAAAAATTATAAACTGCTTCAAGATAACTTTTACTGCAGCACAGTAGCGGTGAAACATGATTTTCATCAAGATTTTCAAACTCACTACCTTGATATACGAGCAATGATCCAGGTATATTTATATCGACAAATCTGATTGGCTATCATGACTACCGAAGATTAACAGAGTTTCCAGTATGAGACATGGATTTTGATTGGTTCCGATATATTCCGGAAAATGCCGCAATCGAAATGGAAGATCAAAACATACAATATTGCAGAAATCCCCTGTGGTTCCCCACAAATTGAAACGATTGTTTTTCACGATTATCTTTATTATTTCCACTAGAAACCATTATATATTGATCTAATGTTATACATCAAGATAATTGTTTAATGATAGATCGAGGTTTTTCATCTAAAAGTCTTCAGAATAAGGAGAAATGTTAATAAAAAGAAGCAAAAGTTCACGACCTTGACATGACCTTCAAGATCGCAAGTTTGTAAAATGTGAAAACAAAACTCTTAATTTGAGCATTTCCTTTATTCATTTCGGACTATTTTGGTATAACATTACTTAAGAATTGTGTGAAAAGGACCCAGTGATAGATATTTATCGGGAGGATGCATCAAATTACAATATATGTCATTTTTATCCCATTTTAGTGTAAGCACTCTATTATCGCCCACTTTATTTTCACTTTCACAATATTTTCTTGAACTTTGTGAAGAAATAAGAGGGACGCAAAAAAATTAGATGGGGACTCAAATTTTTCAAATGGGTTGCATCCCTGGGACTCAGAAATTTTAATGGCCAGAGCGAACACTGGGCTTTATATTTTAAAGGTTAGCATGCATAAAATAAGTTGATCAGCTAGGTTTATCTCATCTGGTAGCATACAGGTCTTCAAAACTGTTCAATGAGAAGGAGTGAAAAATGAGATTCTTTTGGTGCATAATTTAAAGAAAAATGCTATTTTGTGGCAATTTGAGGGCAAAAAGGCATTGGAAAGCTGAGATTTTCTTGTTTGGAACAGAAATAGAGCTTAAAGGCAGAATCAGATCTATAGGGGGTGACAAAATTACAAGCAACGTGCATAATTGACCTACCAATCTATGATCTACAATATCAAATACAATACCTCCCAAAAGATTCATAGTATGTTGTACATTGGTGAAGTTATTAATGATTCAAAGTGCAAAAATGGGTGAAAAATGTTTAAATTCTCCCAAATAATAAGAATGGTAACCATTCTTATAGAAAAATAATACATTATTGTAAAAATCTTTTGTTTTCCTCGAACAAAGTATGCACTTTTGTGATTTTTAGAAAATAGACATGACAAGGAATAACATGAGCCAAAAATATTCTAAAATTGAAACAATTTTTTGTTTGACCTGCTCGCTATCTCTGATTCTCTCTTTAAGGAACAAAATCAGATAAATGTGACACCTCTAATGAATAGGTTTAGTACGTATTTTTGATTTGAAAGTTTAAAGAGCCAAAACTCATTTCCATAACAAGTTGAAAATCTTTAAATGTGTTATCTTTAGAACTTTGAACTGGGTGCAAAGGCCATTTACTTGACTGGAGCCCAATGTAAACATAGGCAATTTTTTATATAACTTCAAAACTCAGAAAATGGTGGAAATGTTTCAAGTGAAATGGTTCAGTGAATGGTAACAATTCATCTCAAAATATTTGTGTATAGCAGGTTAAGATTGGAGTGGATATACTAAAGTGGAAAACAATCCTCAAATGCTCTAGCAAAAGCCCTGTAAATTACAAAAGAAAATAGATTTAAAATTCTTTACCTTCCCAGTCCACAACAACTTTAGGTTTCTCCCAAGTGGACTCCATGTTCCTGGAGTTGTAGAAGTAAGATCTTCCATCTGTGTTCTTGTGCTCAGACCACTCAGCCACTTCTGGTGGAGGCTGACTCTTGTCTACTACTGGGGCACTCTGAAACATAACATAAAACAAATAAACCAATATAAAATGTGAAGTAATGTTTGCAAAAAGGTATATTAATATTATTGCATTGTCTTTTCGGTCCAGGTTCTGTGAAATTCAAACCAGCATAGATTGTTCTTTTCAAAGTAAATGAAGGTTTGTTTCAGAGAGAGTATTTATGAAAGAATCATATCCATCAAAAGTTCATTTTTAGTTATAACAGTTGACTTACCCCAGGGGCTGCCATACCAGGGGGAGGTTGCATGCCTGGGGGTGGCTGCATGCCAGGGGGAGGACCCATAGCTGGGTTGAATCCTGGGGGAGGTCCTCCAACACCAGGGGGTGGAAACATGCCTGTAAATAATTTTCACAAAGTTCAATGGCCGTATGAGTGATTTTAGCGTTCAAATTCATTTCTTTTACAATTACATAAAGATCTATGCTGCTCTTCTTTAATCCTATAATATTGCCAAAATCCTTACCTTATTCCACATGATGAAATTATTACGACACACCCAATGCCTTTATTAATAAATGATATTTCAAAAGTCTTAAGCTGTAACACTTTGGACAGGCCCAGAATGGAATGAAAATGTCCATTTATCAATCTTATTTTTCGGTGACTTGTATTTACCTGGTGGAGGGAAACCTGGGGGTGCTCCAGCTCCGCCTGGGGGTGGCCAGCCATAGGGAGGCTGTTGTCCCGGAGGTGGCTGTTGTCCTGGAGGGGGTTGTTGCTGCTGGGGTGTCTCTTGAGTTTGTTCTGGGGTGCCATCTTGTTGAGGGGACTGGTACTGTGCCCCACCTGCACTGGCTACTCATACAATGTTGGGATAAACATACAAGTATTGTATCAAACAGTATTTTTCTTAGTAGACTGCTTTTTGTAGTAAGGACACTGTATGCAGTAATATGATGTTTTGAACAACATTAATAATATCAATGGGGTCTTTTTGATGTTGATTTTATTATAACCTTTTAAACATTTTAGAGAATAAAAACAACAAAAATGACAGGTCACTGTTTAGCTTTGAATTAAATCCCACCAAACAGAGTATTAACATCTATAGAGCTTAATAGTACATGTAAATTCCTCTTTATATATTCAGACCATATACTGAGAAATGGCTTTAATGAAATTTACCTTGTGCGACTGCAGCTTGAGCAGCTGTGGTGGTGCCTGAAGACTGTGTGTTAGTGGCATTAGCTGCCTGTTGGGCCTGCTGTGCTGCCATTGACTCAACCTCACTCTGGGTTATCACCTTAACACCCTCGGGTCTTGTCCATGCTGACTCTCGTGTCTTTGCATTGTAAAAATAGTTCTGAAACAGGAAGATTTGGCTTAACTTAAATAATTTCAAAAACATTTTCTTTTAAAGCTTACTACATAGAGCAAAAATAAATCATGTTTGACCAATTAATGTTTTAGTGCATTGGAACATACCTTGCCCTCTGGGGTTTTATTTTCAACCCAAAGTTCTTGATTGCCATTGAGAAGTTCTTGGGGAGATGAGGATTCAGATGCCCCTGATGTTGGGGGTGGACCTGAATAGCCTGGGGGTGGCACAGAGAAATTTGGAGGTGGTATGGGCATCCCTGGGGGACCTCCTGGGGGTGGACCTCTCTGAAAATTAAAGAATAATGATTTTGTGTTGATGCATGATTTGGTTTTGACATCTTGGCTCAACATTTTTCTAAATCAAAAATATTAACTGAAAAATGATAAAATATTGTATCTATGGAATAAATGTTCAAATAAAAAAATGATTATAGTGTGTACTTACTGGAGGCATACCAGGTGGTGGCCCCATTCCTGGAGGGGGCCCCATTCCTGGAGGAGGAGGCATGCCTGGGGGTGGTCCCATTCCTGGTGGAGGGCCCATGCCTGGGGGAGGAGGGCCTGGTGGCCCACCCCAGTTTGGATCGAATGGTGGCCTCATGGGGCCAAAAGGTGGTGGGCCCCTAGGCGGACCTCTCATCCCAGGTGGAGGGGGACCTCTGAATCCTGGAGGAGGGGGACCTCTGAATCCAGGTGGCGGTGGACCTCTGAATCTACCCGGTGGTCCTGGTGGCCCTCTGAACCCTGGAGGAGGAGGGCCTCTGAATCCAAAACTGAAAAAGAATTACAAGTATTGTTATATTTCTGATTTATTCAAATGGTTCATCCCTGGAATTTTTTTAAAATTTACAGTGTAATGTATATGGTGCATTCTAAGGTTTTCAAACTATAATTATTTCTTCAAGTATGAATTGGGGGAGTTTTTTCATCCAAAAATATCAATACACTTTAAAACATTTTATTGACTAAAAAATTGCACCATATAATCCCCAAAAATATATCTCATTTTCATTTATTTAGATTCATTTTTCAAACTTCAGAGGGCTGGGAATCATTGATAATCAACGATTTTGAATAATATAAATGCTGTTTGAAATAGGTTTCATGTATGCCAATAAATTGTGTAAACTGTACAAATTCCTTAGTCCCTAGAATTTTCTCTTTGAGGAATTTCCCACAGAAATCCAATGGTAAAGTTCCAAGCAGATTTTGAGATAACAGGAAAGTAAATCTTCAATCCCTTAATGGGTTGTTTTGGTCTATATTGCAAATTTATTTGTAACCTTACACTCAAATTAGGTCTTGGGTTTATTATACATCTAGTAAATAATCAGATAAAAATAAAATGTGTTAATAAATGAATACATTGGACATGTAAATAGTTCGTTAGAAGATAAACATTATGTTTACTGTCAAGAATACCTCAAAATGATCAAAGTCCAACGTTTCATTTGATCATTTCAATCCACCAAAAGCTAATAGGTATAGCATAAATTTTCAAAATAGAGACAGTTAACTCAGAAAGTGCATGGATTCTAGATGTTTAGTGTGGTATTAAAGAAAGCAGAACTTATTGGATTAATACAACAGCAAAAGTATGTACTGTGATTGTACTGTAGGATTTATTTTTATTTGTAAGGACTGGTGAATTCGAGTTTGGCAAATGAAATTCACAACTAAATTTTAACGCTTATAAATGCACAAAGACGAAGCATCAGAAGTCGAATATATCATTTTTGAAATAAGCTCCCCCTAATTTTCAAAACAAAATAGATTTAAATCGATTTGAAGGCACAGTTTAGCGAACAAACGTGTCTTTTATTTGAACATTTTGCAGTCATTTCCACTTTTGTCTGGTCGGTAAATCAAGTGCACTTGTTTTGAAATACAAATATAATGAAATGCATACTTAGGACCCCTTGGTGGAAAGCCTCTCCCCCTGGGAGGACCTGTTGGGTATCTGTTTATTTTGACCTCATAGTCGTCCTTTGACTTATTATCTCCAGAATCCACACGTTCCTGGACTTCTTGCTCCGGTTGATTTTCTTCGTCAGCCATTTTCCACGCCGATTATCAATATGGCGATTTTGTTTCGTACTTATTACCGATATTGATTTCTTGAACAGACTATATACTTCGAATTTTGCCATCAAATAAAAATCATCAATAGAGCTTTATTATTCTTGAGTTGAAATTATTTCAACCTCATGAAATATATGTTTAAATAATTATCTTTTTCGCGGCCCTCTTTCTGCCAGCTTTTCAAGCATGACGTCATTTTCTCACTTCCGCTACAAAATGAAAATGTAAAATCTTGAAACGTTTCGTTGTTTTATTGATCATTTATTTACTTTAGTGGGATCACGTCGGACCTTATATATTTACCATACCTGCATACATCGATGAACGAAGATCGGGCGCTTGAGTCGGTACTTGAACTTGGAAGGGGTGGTGGTGGTGGAATGGCACCTCCACCAGACGTTACATTCGCTGGACCATCATTCACACCATCAATGGAAATTACTCCTCTCGGATCACCTAGATCCCCTACAAGAGGACACAGGGGAGAAAGCCAGCCTCTTCTCTCTAGACTTGAATCAGAATATGGCCAGTTCCACAATAGTTTTCCAGAGGATCCAGACTTTCAAGAAATAGTACGTGAATCCGAAAATGCAATTGAACAAGAGATTTATCCTGAGAGGATCTATCAAGGCTCAAGTGGAAGTTATTTTGTGAAAGATCAAGAACTAGTGAGTATACTGTTGTTATACAAATGCCCCTTCATTCTAAAGGGTGAACCAAAAAAGGTAACCCAAACAAATATTAATAACTCAGTCATCAATCATGGGTTTAAAATCATACTTGGCACAATTGAACCTTGTTTTTTGTTCCTTCGTTCTACCAAGATTCATTGGTCTACTTCAAGTGGCCGCGATTTTATGGCTATTTTAAAAAACATCCTCAAAATTCCTGTCTCATCTCTGGAAGCTACTTTGAATGCACAGGTGTTACTTCCTGCGAAAGCTATTTGGATTTTGATATAATAGCTTTCCCACGGAGCATTTGGACAGACCTGGATGATTGTGACCTTTGAAATCGAATTAAGTTGATCCGCGGCTTACTTTTGGTCTCTAACTGTGTCTTACATATTAAAGTATCATCAATCCGTGTAAGTATTAGAGCGCTGAAATACTTCTTTTTCGATCAAGACTTGTAAATTGTTCATCGAGTGAATGTTTTTTAGACCTATTTCCAATATGGCGGTTTGCTGGGAGCGAGATACGCAACGAACAAAATGAATTTTGAGAATTAGTTAGGTTCGGACAACCTCCGGAGATTTACGAAAATGTCCGAGCAGAAAACGCCATATTGGAATTTGGCAGTAAAAACATTCACTCGACTAACAATTACAAGTCTTGATCGAAAAGGAAGTACTTCAGCGCTCCAATACTTACACGGATTGATGATACTGATGTAAGACACAGTTAGAGACCAAAAGTAAGCCGCGGATCAACTTAATTCAATTTCAAAGGTCACTATTAATCAGCTGTTCACTTCCCCGTTTGAGAGCCATAAGTTTCAAAATCTAACATGGCTCTAGAAGTGAGTAACACAGGTGCAGTTGTTCCAACTTTAAGCAATATCTTGTGTATATAGTGCTGATATATAATAATAAAGGGTGCGTTTTCAAACTAAACAGAGTGCTCCTACCAAAATGAATTTGTCTACTTACCCCTGAGACTCTTATCTAATAGATAGAATGCACAAATAAAACAAAAGTTTTGCTATTACATGTTCATGTATAGGTGAAAAGTTCTCTTAAAATTCGAAGTGATTTTACCTGTTGTATGTATGTATGTATTATTTATTTGCGTCTAGAATAAGACAGTTACATGCACATGTTATACAATAATTATAGAAAATGAAATAAAGAAAGTAAAATAGTAACAGGGAACATGATTTCAAATCAATTATGTAGTGTGAACTGTCCTACATGATTTAGATCATTGATACTCTGGCTCTATGCATGGAATATATTACAAGTGATATGGAGCAGAGTGAGTCGATGCTCTCTAAGCTTGAGCTCAACCCTAAAACAAAGTCCATCTTCTCAGCAAGTGACATACAGCCTCCACTCTCCAACATTGTGAGTTGAGTCTGCCGTTCATAGGTAATTATATCACATTGTAGTATAAAATGTTCAATAGTGTCTCTTGAATTGATGCACAATGGGCAAACCCCATTCTCAAAAGGATAAGACCCTGCTAGGAGTTAAAACATAAGTTTGCACTGTTTTTTGAAAATATGTCTCAGTTTACATATGAGCCAGCATATATTTGGCTGCACGTATGAGATGGATAATGTACAAGAATAAAATGATAAGGAACTATACAAAGAACACATCATTCTAATGCTATTTGCTTCATTACAGTATAAAGCATTTCTTACAATGTGTTTAAAACCTGATTTAGAGAGATATTCCCCAGACTGTATCATGTTCATAGATAAATTGGCAAAAGTGTACCGTTCAAGTGTTCTCCAAATGATGGAGAGTGGAGAGTTATGCCGTCCATTCCCCCCTATGAGCCACAGCAATCTATGTATCAAGACGGTTTTGTAAATATTATTCATTGGTAACACTATTATACTCCAGAAGAACATCATCCTCGAGAAATCTATCTGTCTTCTGACAGAAAGCCATCCAAGACCTGAAGCTGCTATAGGGTTCGGCGAACTTTTTGGGAGTGCCTGAATTCTTCTTCCGATTTCACGATTTTACCTGTTGATTCTGTACTTGGTCCGCCATGTTGGCAGAAGTTACACTGAAACGCAAACCCCATTAAATGAAACGAAATCATTAGAAAAAGCCATGGCACACATTGTGCGCATGTGCAGCAAAGTTTAAACCAATCAGATTAGTTGATTATTTTGGGCACCTGAATTATTTGCTTCTGAGCACCTGCAAGCTAACCACAATGATACAATGATAGGGTGATGTAAAGGGGATGGGGTTTCGCACAATGAACCAATCAAATAATGAAATATAGCACATGTATGCATCATCAAATAGCTAGTATAAACATGTGATTCATTGTTCGCACAAAAAAAGTCATCTTTCTGAGAGTGGGGTTCATTCCCAGCCTTCCAGCCTTGGGTTTGTTTATCTTTCAGAAAGGAGGCTTGTTTGGGGCTGGGCGTTCTTTTATAGCGAAAGGGATTAGGGGAGTTCAAGGCGAAGAAGGGATTTTGCCCAATGAACCCCCTCTTGCTATACCCATGCTTTTAGAGTTGTGTTTCAGTATTTTGAGCATGTTTTGTAAAATGGCCATAAAATTATGACCATTAAAAATAGACCAATGAAACTTAAATAGAATGAAAGAACATTGAACAATTTGTCAAATATGATTTTAAATCCATGCAAGATGACGTGAGTTATTAACATTTGTTTGGGTTACCTTTTTTGGCTCACTCTTTACTATTCTAATGTAAAGTCTGCTACAGGTAACCCCAGGGTTCACTGTATAAACCTTGATGGGGATCATGAAAGATACTGGTGGTATGGCATTGGTCCAGTAGTTAAGTTGAACTTGTTTTGGATCGTTTTTGCCAAATTCTACTTTCTCGAACTTTTTGATATGAACGTTTTCCTGTGAGTTGTACATTTGATATGGCATTGGGCCACTATTTGAAATTTTAGGGAGTTATGTTCAATACCATACCAATTGCATAATATGAATCAGTTGGTATGTGAACATATTGAAATTTGACAGTATGGAAACATAGTGAGGGTTCAGCCTTGGTTTATATACAGTGACCCCCCCGCACTAATGAAATGCAGGTTGGGGTATGTGTGTATGGGTTTGTACAAGCAGACTTAAATAGTTTTAGTGTTGTTTTTGGCTCTACTAGCGTATAGACTATTAACAGCCTTGCATAAGATGGAATTATTATTATGTCTACAATTATAATTGCTATTTCAAGACAAGACAACACAAGCAATATTTCCAAGACATCTGAAAATAGAGAAAGATTAGGAAAATTTAGATTACTAACAAATATACTCCATAAAGCATATTCCTATGAAAAGGAAATGCACGAATTAGGTTTTCAAACTTGGGCTACAAAAGTTTATGATATTTTATGTAAAACTAATATGACAAAACACTGGGAGGATCAAGATAATTTAGAAAATAAAGAAATGGTACCATTCAATGTTGAAAAAACCTTGAGGAGTAACTTTGTTGATAAATGGAAAACTGATATTAATCACAACTTCCCTATACTTCGCACATATAACACCTTTAAGAATGACTTTTCCTTGGATACTTATACAAAACTTGATAATAGAAAATATAGACAATCAATAGCCAGGTTTAGACTAAGCTCACACAAACTTCGAATTGAAACAGGCCGCTATTCTAAACCTAAACCTATTCCAATAAATGATAGACTTTGCCTAACTTGTAAATCTGTAGAAGATGAAAAACATTTTTTTATTAATTGTAAAAAACATGATGCACAAAGGAGTGTCCTTCTAGAAAAAATGAAAGAAATATTTGGACCCGATTTTCTAATCAATGAAACAAATTTTAAAATGCTATTGTCTTCGCAAAATATTACTGTTCAAAGGCATATTGGCAAATATGTTTACCATTCTTTCCAAAATTTAGAGTAGACTACAATTACTGTGCTACACTGCTAATATCTTCTTTTTATCTTTTATGCATCAAGTTTTATAGAAAGCCTGTAGCCTCATACTAATGATTATATGTTGCATGTATAAAGTTTAGTTATAAATGTAGTCTAGCATTTAGTTAATAGTGTAGTATTGTCTTGTGTCAAGACAGCCTAGTTTGTACATAGACTAATGTGTCATGTTTTGATACAAAATGTCAATAAAAGAAATATATATATAAATGATTGAATTTTCCATACAGAGAACTTGTTTCCCTTGATAAATGCACAATTACTACTTACTTAAGTTTCATTGCATATATTGTCAGCCTGTGATGATTCATAAGCACATGCAAATGTGTAAGAAAACAATGAATAGTGTGCATGTAACACCCCCAACTATCCACATCCAATATTAGATCTAGACATCTATAACTAAGATATAGGGGTGACAAAATAGAAAGTAACAATACAAAATATGGTAAGTCCCTTACCAAAGTTATCATAGACATGATATAATGACTAGATAGCAAGGATTTCTCAGGTTGGGTCCTACTTTTTGCAAAATTCATGGAAATTTTAAACCAATAAAATGCACCACACCTGCCCCCTAATTAGCTTCAGATATATCATGCTTTGATTTTGCCTCAGTATTGATGCAATAGTTACTGTTATGCAAAATGGTAGGAAATGAAATGATATTAATGTCAGTCTGATCAGAATGGAAAAGCATATTTAGCTTAAAGGAAGTGACTAAATATTGAGAACATGTTTTTTATATAAGGCATGTCAACTGCCAAAATTGATTAGATAACATGGACAGATTGATAATTGCCTATGGCACTCATTTTTGCTGTATGATTGCAAACCCATTTGCTACAGGGTAAATTATTTGTTTCAATCTGGGTTACTCAAGCATAACTATCCTGAGCATTAATTACTGTTTCCATACATTTTATTTTCTTCAGAAATTACCTGAAAATATCTAAAGTAACCACATTTGAGTTTAAACTAATTGTCAACAAACTGATAATAAAGAAGCTCATATGATTAAATTGCTTTTAAAATCTTATTCAAATAGAAAATGAAGTAAGGATGTTGCTTATCGATGAATTTCTTTGTCACATAGGTATTAGAAAAAGGAATTTATGTATCACCAAGGACGTCCTGATATCACAGAGGATTTCAGGTATATGCATGTATGTATCAAAGGTCATCAAGAATGGACGATCTTGTACAGGTACTAATACAAGAACCTCTATATGATCATTATTTCGGAGATTTAAACATATTTCATTGATAAACTGTTGGTTCACAATGTATGAGTATATTCGATGGTGAAATGATTTAATGGTTTAACTTGATTCCCTAAAGTTTTCAAAAAACATGATGCAGATAGATGTCAGTCAAGAAGTACAGAAAGATCAATGAATGCAAGAAATAAATAAATACCACAAGTGTGCACTCACTATTTGAAATATGAATGCAGAAGTTGAATGAGTCATTCAACTGAATGAAAAGACTGTATTTATTTTGTCAAGTGTAAGCAGAAAAATAATGGACAAAGTAGAGTGATAAGAAATGAATGTAGAAAAAATGTTTTATTAGTCTAGTTAATTTTATACTTGATAAACCCAAAATGTTGGACTGATATTGAAGGCGTGTGTGACTTACATATTTTATTAGCCTTTGAGTATATTAGTTCAACTTATTAGCCACTGGTTCAAGGACATTTTAGGAACAAGTGGTGGACATTAGGATTATTTTATAAAATCTACAGCAGAAGTAGCAGAATGGAATATGACTCAATTGTAAAATAAAACACAGCTGTCGACATCTGATTAGAATTTTACTGAATTGTCAGGTTGTAAAATGAAACAACAACGATTGTTATTGAATTTCAACAAATGTGAGTTCCATCCAGTTTGTTCATTAGCCAATTCACAGTGAGCCACATGGATAATATTGGATATCATAGGATGGAAGTACATGTATGTGATATCTGAACAATCAGGAAGAGGAAGTGACATGTAATAAAAGATGAATTGATGATCATATAAGACAGACTGATTCATTAAAATGTGAGAAATCAACGTGGAGAAATGGAGTAAACATGATGCTAGGGTCTTATTGTTAACAATTTTTATTGGATAGAACAAAATCTTTGTTTCACATCTATGCTCATTAGGGTCTTCAATCAGTAGGTCATTATCTTTTTCATGTCGATGTAGATATTCAGGCTAATTGTCCCGATTTTTACATTTGGTTATATTTTGTTATATCCATTGTTATACCATGTCTCATGAAAGATAATCTTCTATAATTGTTTTATTTGCTAGGTTAGCCATAGACTCTCTCTTGATTGAATTCCTTTGGATATATTACTTCTTCTAAAGTCTATTAATTATCACCAGTGCATTGGATGTACACCTGTAACAAATGATTCATAGTCAGCTGACTTAAGGTGCTATGGAAGTTAACAGGAAATGACAAAACAAAAAATGTCAAAACCATGTTGGATTTTGAAAAAATTTTGAACTAAGATAACAGTTCTGTATGGACCTCCAGTCAGTTTAACTAGTTCCACATATCATTTACATGACTGGGAACACAATGAAAATGGTCAGAATGACCATAAACATGATGAAATAACCTTTTCAGCCCTCTGAAAATGTGACTGAAAAATAGCTAAAAGTATGTGCTCAGGAAAGGTCAATGAACAGAATCTTTGATTTTTTCAGAAAATGTGTCTAACATATTGCTCTAAATGATACAATCTTTGAAATTTTAAAACATCTTCTGAAACAATAATGGCTGTAGTTAAAAGGAAATTAGATAGATTTTAAATTCAGTGACCTTTCGTGAGCACCTACTCTTAGCTATTTTTCAGTCACATTTTCAGAGGGCTAAAAAGGTTATTTCATCATGTTTATGGTCATTCTGACCATTTCCATTGTGTTCCCAGTCATGCAAATGATATGTGGAACTAGTTAAACTGACTGGAGGTCCAAAGAGAACTCTGTTATCTTTGTTCAAAGAATTTTCAAAATCCAGCATGGTTTTGACATTTTTTGTTTTGTCATTTCCTGTTAACTTCCATAGCACCTTAAGGCCAGGGTGCATTCCTCAATTCAGTCACATGTTATTTTTCAAACAGGAATCACTCCTTCCCCAAATTGTCTACATCTTCCAGTTTTGCACAAAGAGTGCACTTATGTGCCTAGAAAAAACTGGTAAAAAGATTTGTTTTGTAAAATTTTTGAATACGAGAAAATTCAGAGAGAAAAAATTCTGAATTCTGAGTTTTTTATACATTTTATCAAAACATTCTTCTTCACATTCTTTTCTTGGTACATTAGTATACTCATTATGCAAAAAGGGAGAGATGTAGACATTGTGGGGAAGGAGTGATTCAAATGTGAAAAATAACATGTGACTCAATTGAGGGTTGTAGCAAAATTCCGAACATGTACCCTGACCTTAAGTTTCGTGGCATCCTCCAGATGCAGGGTTCCAGACACCATCCACTCTGCTCATTCTTTCAAAGTGGATGGAGCCTGTGTTTGGGGGATGAATTTTTGGTAATTCTCACTGGCAATAGGAACTACTCTACTAGAATTGCTTTGGTACAAGAAAGTGTTCTACTTCAGAGGTATTCCGGTAATTTAAGTAATTTAAGTCAATTAAGTCAATTAAATGGGCAACGTGGCTTGAAGTGTTCCTCTTGAAGTATAGAACTGATGTTTCATTTGAATAAGATCAAGAATCCAAGTGTTGTTTCATTTAATATGAAAACTTTTCAAATTACAATAATTGAATATCTCGACTTTCTTTTGATGACCTTGTGTCCTTGGTAGTTGATATTAATATGGCTTGATATCTATAATATAATTATATTGAAATCATAATCCATTGGGAATAAATTGAAATGAGTTTTAATGCAAAATTATTGATTCCCATATGTTGTCAATGTTTGTTGATATTGTTTTCAGTTATTAATGCCATATTATCAGCAGTTTAGATTATTCTCCTATTATGGATTTAATGTTGTTTACATTTATTGGTTCATGAGTCCATAGCTGAATTTAAAAAACATCTCATTCAGAAGTAATATCAGTCAGATTGTACTTTCATTATAGTAGCATTACTAGCTTTATGTTTACTCTGTTTATGCGTCATACCATGTAACAGTTCATGTTTAGTAATTAAAAATGCATGTATAATATTGTAATATAATGTACAACATTTTTACAGATATAACTTTGAGCAACTTACATCATAGACATGTACATGAAATGATATATGTAGTACTGTATATTATCACCATAAAAGAACTGTTTAACTTTGTTCGTCTTTAACAGATGAATACCAGCATATATAATAACTATTATGGAATATTGATATTGCCACAATTTGAAATGTGACTTTCTTATTAACCAAACCGGATGGAAATATATGTTGGAATTATGTAACCAGACAGAATCGGAAATATCCCTGGATAAATAGACAGGAAAACTCCAATATAACCATCATACATAACACAAAGAAAAACAAGATAGAATTAATCATAGACTCAGATAACCACACTTGGGATTATATTGTTACTACGGCAACCTAGCACATCTTGTTACCATGGCAGCAATTTCTGATGCTGACATTACCCCAGCTCTGTCAAAAGTTGATTATGAAGAGGTGGATGGTGACAACAGTCCTGAGCCTCCGCCAGCATTTTCAAACTATTTCCCTGAGGACCCTGAATTTACTGAGGTTGTACGTGAAGTTGAGATGGCAATGGACAGTGATATATGCCCAGAACTGAGTGCCTTAGGATCAAGTGGATGTTACTTCTTGCAGGATCGAAACTCAGTAAGTTTCTTATCAAAATGCCAAATATTTGGAAAATCATAAACTAAATGTTGTTTATGTTATCTATCTCTAATGAATTTAAAATATTAGAGCCAATAATAATTTCTAATTGTTGAGACTCATGTGGGATAGTATTGCTAAAATTCTCTTTGAAATTTTTGGTTTGTACTATTTTATTTCTGGAGTTTGTAGACAATAGACATGTGATTTAATTATCTAATTATCTAATTATCTGGTATTTTTAGTTATACCTTTCCAACATTAATTTTTCATTATGATGGCACTTACATCAATTAAAGTGTCATGTAGCATACTTGGTAGTTAGGGATTAATATTGTATAAATACATAAGAAAGAATTCTATGTTTTTATATAAAAAATCTTATGAAATTATGTCACAACTATCAACCTAATCAGTTGAAGATATTTGTGACATACGTTAGGAAGGAGACAATCCAAAATCATGATAGAAGTCTGAAGTTGAAACAAAATTGCTTGTTCAGAGTACGATTTGTGAGGATCAACGAGCATTACAAGTTATCAAGGGACTGAATCAGATCGTTATGTTTGATTTGCTTCTGGCGTCATTTGGTCAGCTGCAATTTTGCAAGTTAATTGGACAAATCTATTTTAATATTCACATCTCTCATCTACCCTAATTATGTTTTAACTTTTGATTTGATATACCAAACATATAAATCTGAACTAGTTTTCCTTAACTGTGGCGGCTGGCCTGAAAATTAGTCAACATTGCAACGCCCAATAGAGACTGGATTTAAGCATCATAGCTAAAATCAAGAAGATTCAAAATCCAAAGGTCTGATAATGAAAGTTATGAATTTTATGTCTGTGATATATTATGATATATTTGAATTGTTTTTATTGGTGATTGGGCAGGCACCACATAATTCTTGTCATCAAAATTCAATTCTGTTCAACTTGAAATTTCTTACAGATGCAAAAGCAGATTAGTACCAAGATCTTATTAGGTTTTTGGGCAGGGCATACTAGGTGAATTACATGGTGGCGATTTTACTTGTCAAGGTGCAATATTTATCATGTTATGTTTTGTTCAGAATATCTTTGGGAAATAATAATAATTGAAAACTAGGGAAATGGGACTAATTGAATATAAGCTGCTAATAAAATTTAAGTAAATCTTAAGTTTTTTTGAGTTTGATATTATCAGAAATTCCAAGTTTGGCAGTAGAGAAAAGTGATCACAACCAAATCAGTGCTTAATTGGTAATTGTCTGTACTTGTATGTATTTCTGAAAAAATGAAACAAACATGATTTAAAGATAATATACCCAATTTTGGTAAACTGAACCAAACAGTTGATGATAAAGACATTAGCTTTGATACCTGTGGAGTACTTGTTTACAAGTTAATGTGTTTATTTGTTAAGGTGTATTTTGCTTGAGGAGAGGTAATAACTTATTGTTTTTGAAGGAGTGATAATCACAGCTGTATTAAATGAGTCTATGGCAATCACATGTCATATTCAAGGCTAAAGACATCTTGTAATCTTAAGAGGGATCAATATAACAACACATTTAGTCTTCATTGTAATTTTAACAATAAAAAGCACTTGTTAATAAAGATTTTACAACAGAAGGTCATTTATATTTGCAGTGGATGTTTTACATTTTGAATTATTCTTGACTACATTCAGATTTTATTTGTATTGTGCTTTACAAGATTAAATTGAACCAGAGGGATTTATAAGTAGAAGTGTATTAGACCTGCTAAATAACTGAGCCAACTTCATTCAATATATAAAGCCAGTATTAGTAATAAACAGGTATATAGGCAGTAATAGTACATAGGAGCTACATGTGCCACTATTTGGAGATGTCTTGATGTCTTATGACACAACTACAACATATTAATACAGTGCATCATAATACAGTGCACCGTTAACACAGTACACTATTCTAGTGCAATATGAGCTGGAGATATACATACTTTCCCTCAATTTGGAAATTTGATTAGGATTTGAACATATAAGCAGGAATTGTTCTCGGCTATTCAACTACTGTAACTGTATATGGGTATATGGTAAAATTAGCAGCCATGCCAAAGAAAGTAGAAAATGACACTGTACCAGTTGCATCTAACATGGAACTGGAGAACATCCAAATAGAAGTTAACGCTGAAGAAGCTGATGATGACGATTATCATCATGATATTAAACAAACTGATCAAGTGTCATGTAGTATTGAGAAACAACCTTCAAATGAAGATAAAACTAAAACTAACAATGGTGTGTCACATACTACAAGTGTACACATCACCATAGAGAATCACACTGAACAACAAGGGCCTGTAACATCTACATCTGACACTGCACCCTATAAGGAACTCAAAGCCTGTGAAGATAGCCCTGTTGTACTCCCTGCTCCAGAAGAGTTCAATTTTGAGCACTATTTCACTGGTGAATGTAAAGTGAATGCTGTTGAAGATGAAGTTAGGGCTGGCCTAGAGGAGGGTTGTAAGCCTATACTCAGTAAGGAGGGGTCTAGTGGTTGCTACTTTATGAGAAATAAAACAGATGTAAGTGAAACATAAGATAATCAAATCCAAGATCTTAACTACAATTGGTTATAGTGAGTTATGTTTTTTTATAACACCAAAAGTCAGTACTATTAAGTTCAAATTGCAATTTCCTTAAGAAGATCTTAATTCATATGAAATGGTTAAGGTCACCATAGACACCTGTCATCGCTAGTATCATTGCTTATTCTGAGACAATTTCCTGTAAAAATGAAATTATGGATGGTGAGAAGCCTGCATAGAACCAGCCTATATGATTACAATTTATATGACACTTGACTATCACATTCAATAACACGTACCATTAGAAATGTTTTCAGGTTCAAGTCATTTTACATTGTCTCTCTTTCTTGGATGTAGTCTCATTAGTTCTGCCCTTAACATGTAAAATACTTTAAGTTTAGACGGAAATGTCATATTGAAGGTACAGCGTGATCATTTTGAAGCAACTCCAGCAGTTAACCATTTTGATATTCAGACCAGCTGAAAGGAAACTGTTAAAAACCTTTGATATGTCATAATAAGTTTTTACTTAATAAACTACATTATTCAAGAATCACGCTGAACAAGAATCTTAAGTCATCTTACGCTCGTACAGCTATGTAAGATTTATTCATCCCCTTTGCTAACTAAGAAAACTAAACTGATGATGTATTTGTAATGAAGAGAAGAAAGATTTAGATGTGATGTTCTTGATAGGCAATAGTGATGTCCTGGTTAGACAATAGTGATGTCCTGGTTAGACAATAGTGATGTCCTGGTTAGACAATAGTGATGTCCTGGTTAGACCAATCTTATTAGCTTCATTATTAGCAGATAAGCAGTACTCTACATCCATATATGGCCACATTGCCTTCGGATGAATATATCAAAGTAATAGCTCCACTCCTATCTTCTTATTTATTCATAACCAAGATTATTCTATAGCCATATTCATCAACTTCAAATTGAGGTTTTGTAATGCACTTTTTACTAATCAAAGAGTGTCTTCCACATCCAAGCAAGGGTAAATGAGTTGTCTTCATGCAGATCTTTAAAGGATTTATTTCAAATAGTTGTTGAGACAGTGGGAATTACTTTTCTATTAGGTTACTAGAACATCAAGGCCTCTGGTGAATCTGTATAGTATTTAATACTGATCTACAATTTTTGAATGACTATATCACGGCCCAGCCTTTCAGTAGGTTCGCTTTAGGTGATATATTTAACTAGGATTTCTAGGTTCGCTTTAGGTAGTTCCCCATATAAAAACTCCATTGGTAGGTTCGCTTTAGGCGATGTTCAAATATGCTAATTAGGTCTAGGTTTACTTTAGGTGATCACCTAAAGCGAACCTATAACTACCTATAACTACCTAAACTATCTAAAGCGAACCTAGGTAGGTTCGCTTTAGGTAATTATAGGTTCGCTCTAGGTAATTATAGGTTCACTTTAGGTGGTCACCTAAAGCGAACCTGAATCTAATTAGCATATTTGAACATCGCCTAAAGTGAACCTAAAACTACCTAAAGCGAACCTACGTAGGTTCGCATTAGGTAAATACTTCCAAGGGCTGGGTTGGCTTTAGACCACCCAGCAGCTGGATGACTTGATTTGTTGATTTGAACTGTTTATATATTTCTCACACATTTTGATGCATATATTCTCACGCAAGTACATTTATTTACAATGATGGTCCTAAGCTGGCCTATGGAGGTAGCCGGGTGTCTGGACCCTACAAACTTGTGAACTGTATAGGCTTTATGTCAACTGTTTATTTATTTCTCACACATTTTGATGCTTAGTTTCTCACTCAGGTACATTTATTTAAAATTCCTCCTTTTTTATAATTGCATGCTTTTACCATGGTATAACACTTAACCTCTTGAATACCAGCCTCTAAAAAGGGTTTGAACCCAGAGTATTGTTTATTTTTTGCCAGTTATTTTGATATTTACATCTAAAAACAACAGTTGATGTTTGATTTCATAAGAATAGTAAACATAGACCCTCATTTTAAAACATCATTTGTGAAGATTGGATAAAAATTGCCAAAGTTAGAGCAGTTTTAGTGAAAAATTCTGTGACAGATATATCCGTCATTCTGGGTATTCAAGAGGTTAAAATAATATATTGATTGATCATTTGTACACTTACTTACATGTACTTTGTAAATGAGCACTGATGTGATGGTCATTTCAGCATATTTCCCCATTTTCCTGGCTATTTCCAAATTTCCTGTCTAACTGATTTTAGTTTGAATATTATACCCACAATGCATTGATACTTCCTGCTATCAGCGCCCCTAGTGGCTGTGACAGAACTTCTGTTTTGTAGGTTTGCTTTAGGTAGCTTTAGGTAGCTTTGGGTTCGAACCTAAAACTACCTACAAGTTTGAAGTGTTTTAGGTAGATTTAAGATTTTTAGGTTCGCTTTGGGTTCGAACCTAAAACTACCTACAACTTT